AGTTCCACAGCCACATGATGGTCAAAGGGCCTCACGACTTTTATTTTGTGAAGAAAAATGACCCAGAAGGTCCTCACTCAGACAGAGTCTATTACCTCGGTGAGCAGCCCCTGGTTCCAGGGTCAAAGATACCGTTGTTTAGGATCTACAGGCAGTTGTAAATAACTACAGAAGAAGTGTGTAGCTCTGTGTATATGGTGTGCATCTCTGTGCAGTTACTAATGATAACATACGCTGGAATGCTGCAATTTGGAAATAGGTTGATAAAGACACAGTTTATTTAGCAGTGACGTTTGAACGATGGCGTTTCATATGCGAGATGGGTAATGCTAATCTGAGCCTTTGTAACGTGACCGTCTTTGAATATTTGATCCCCACCAGCTATGTCCAACGAAAACCGGGAAACACGTTGTTTTATTCGGAAATTCCCAAATCAGTAAACAAGAATGCTTTCCTGATGCTTTCGTGGAATCCTCTGCTGGATTATTTCCAGGTATGTGGAATGTTCGAATCACGGGTTTTGTACCTAAAATCTGCTTTCCTCTGGAACTCCCTGCTTCTATCGCTCCCATCTCAAAATGTACCCTTTTTGACTGAGCCTATAGTCATATCCCTTCTCCCTTGCTCTGTGTGCAGTTGACTGCCGTGTGTCGCCCAACAAAATATACGTACAATTCACTTTAACAGTATATTCTGTGAAACTCTTTCATGCATAACAAGGCGCTGTATCAAATGCAAGGATTATTATTGTTGTTGCTATGTATCCACAGCCTGGACTGTGAGCTTAAACACTCCGCGTGGAGCTTGAACGTTGCGTAGAGGATCAGCGCACTTCCCAAGTGGAATCGATATCGATTCTATTGCATCTATGTGTATGTACAGGGATGAGGGAATTTACCTTGAGTAAGAAAGTGACCATTAAAAGCGAAAGAGGAGGTGTAGTGGGTGATATGGTTTTGGTTCTGTTTGCTAGACAGAGAAGCAATAACAGTGGTAGTGGTTGTTGGTCCAGTGAAACCCAGAAGTCAGGTTAGGCAGTACAAGTTAGATGCTGGACTAATAGCCGGTTGTGTCTGTTGAGTTTACCGGAGCCACTCTCTGTGATTTGATGTTACCACTGTCGATTGAATATTGTTGTGTATGACTGGTTGGGTCCGAGGGTTTACTGGACGCCAGTCTCTGTTTAGTGTTGGTATTATGAGTCAGTTGTCTCTGAGGGGTATTTCCGGGGACTGATCTCTCCGGTGTATGTCAAGGTGTGATCCTGGGTCTACTGTTTAGTCGGGAGTACGAAACAGTGCCCGGATACGTGTTGTTGTCCCTCTATCGTCAGTACTACAGTTTGGTCTGGAGTACGGAACAGTGTCTGGATACGTGTTTGTTTCGTACATCTGTGTTGTATTATTGTGTTGTATGTCACCAAGTTAATTATAGGTAGTGAGCTTTACTTTTTTTTAAATAGAATAAACACGATACTCTTACCTAATTATTAACACAATTGAGCCGGGCTGGCACCTCGTTACTCTTTGCTGTCTCTCCTCTCCCAGGCCACTCCTGACTACGGGATTTACTGCCGCGAAGAGGAATTGCTGAGAGAAAGGAAGCGCATCGGAACCATTGGAATTGCCTCGTATGATTTCCACAAGGAAAGTGGAATGTTGCTGTTCCAGGCCAGTAACATCATCTATTACGTGAAGGACGGTGGTCAAAGCGGCTTCACTGTGAGTCTCTCCTATTTTATTCCCACTTACCAAAGGCTTGACCGTAACTTTTTTTTCTTTTAGATCCTTATCCATCCTTCCTCTTGGTCGCTCTCCAATGGGCACATTTTTTTTGCCTCCTCCTTGCTGGAAAAGGGCGCTTGTGTGTGCACATTGGGTGAGGAGGGATCTGGGTCTAGTTTTGCTGCTTCCCCACTCGCTAACACTCACCGTTGAGACACAGTGCCCAACCCCACCCCTTTCCACCGGGCGAGGACCGGCGATAAACTGTTAAATTGGTATCGGTTTCATTTGTGTTCTTTGTTGTTATTATTATTAACAATAATAATAGGTAATCGTTGTTTTAATTGCAGAAACAACCCCTAAACCCTTTGACGATCAAGACTGACTGTCCCAAAATCCGGATGGATCCCAAAATATGCCCAGCTGATCCGGATTGGGTTTCATTTATCCACTGCAATGACTTGTGGATTTGTAACATTGAAACGGGGGAAGAAAAGAGGCTCACCTTCGCACATAAAGGTAGTGATGAGTGTCTCAGACCGGCTACATTCGGATAGAGTCCAGACCAAGAAAGATAGATATGCTTCATAAGTAAGTAAATGAGGGGAATGGAATTAAAGAGTTGTCATAGACTTGATAATGAAGCTGGCTGTATAACCTATTCCGGTACCAAATACTGTCCAAAACATTAAAAAACAAATTCACCACTGTTTGTGGGACATTGCTGTGCCCAATTGGCTGCCGCGTTTCACCCACAAACGATACAGTCAATTCACTTGGTAGTATAATCCGTGAAGCGCTTTGAGGTGTCTTGAACGCGTGATAAGGCGCTATATCGAAGGCAAGGATTGTTGTTATTAATGAAAGGTGGTCAGATGAGCGAGAGAATGCACCCATCTTTCCAGTATTCTATGGGATGACAGTCTCCCTTGTCTTGCCGTCAAGATTTGCCGAATCTGGAGGACGATCCCAAATCCGCAGGCATCGCCACGTTCGTGCTCCAGGAAGAGTTTGACCGGTATACAGGCTACTGGTGGTGTCCTGTGGCCGAGCGCAGTAAGTGTCTCTCTTCTCGCAATGCTAACTGAAATGAGCTGGTGTCCATCACATTGCAAGCAGATGGGTTTGACTTATGAACCACTCGAGCAAGTTTACTTCACACAATATGTTCATAAATCTTACCCATCATGGTGCTAAAAAGGATTTCCCATCCTTCTGTTTCCGAGCACTCCGAGAAGCTATCCTGCGTAAAGGGTGCTATATAAATGCAAGTTGTTGCTGCTGTTCCTCATAACTAGGAACCCTGTAGTTTAGAGGTTAGAGCACGCGCCTCGCCAGCGAGAGGACCCGGATTCGATTCCCTTGCGAAGCGAAACGTTGGGCAAGTTTCCTTACTCCAACCGCCTCTGTTTACCCAGCAGTAACGTAGGAACCCGGTAGTAGGTCGATTTGCGGGTCGCTTTTCTGGGTGGTAATCATCCCTTCAAAAAAATAAATAAATATTGGTCACTTAATCCATGACTGTTTGTGGGACGTTGCTGTGCGCAATTGGCTGCCGCATTTCGCCCACAAAATATACAGTCAATTCACTTTTCAGTATATTTTGTGAAGCGCTTTGAGACGTTTCAAAGACTTGATAGGGAGTTATATTAAATGCAAGGATTATTATAAGACTATATGGACCCAGAAAAGGCCATTTGGACCCATTGAGCCCAGTCCTTTCCCAATAGACTCTCAAGCTCATGGAGTTTTCCCGAATCAGATGAACAGCCTCAGGTAAAGTAGGTAGAAGATTATGCTTAACGTATTGAAATAAATGTCATTTCTGTTTCAGCTCCAGATGGAGGGAAGGTTTTCAGGATCCTTTATGAAGAGAATGATGAATCAGAAGTTGAAATTATCCATGTAATGTCGCCCATGCTTGACACACGGAGGTCTGATTCGTACAGATACCCACGAACAGGTAGGCGAGGGGAATGGTTGTGTGGCGCTCACTTCAGTCAGTCCTCCTCTGCATTCTCTAATTGTCTTAATTTTGTACCTTAAATCACCTCGATTCCATTTCCCTGCGTGTCGAAAGGTGTGATTACGTGAAAGAGCAATGTTCAGGAATCTGGGTGTACAACACTTAATAATAATAATAATAATAATAACCCTTGCATTTGATACAGTACCTTATCACGTCTCAGAGACGTCTCAAAGAGCTTCACAGAATTTACTGTAACATGATTACCTGTACTTGGCGACGCAGCCTTTTTCCCCACAACCTACGTTTGTTTCGCGTCTTTCACGTCGGGAGGACATCCCAAGGCACTGGACAGTCAGGGATTTGGCCCCGCGCAGGGGGTTGGGATCGGGGGTGGTGGAGGGCAGGGGTAGGAGGGTGGCCGAATGCGTGGTCGAAGGCACTGACTCTTGGCAGCTACATACTGATTGCGCAGCCACATTGAACCAGCTGTGGCACGCACTGCTCTCAGCCCCGGCACACACTAACTCGGCAGCCGTCACTGAACCGGGCCTGACAGACACTTAATTGTCCAGCCAGACTGACCAGGCCTGGCACTCACTGACACAGTATCCACACTAACCCGGCCCTGGCAGAAACTGAACCCGTCCTGAAGGGCACTGACTCTCAGCATCTGACTCTTGGGAGCTACACTAAACTAGCACTTGCGTAACTCCATCCCGGAGACCTTTCCCACTGAGTAACTCCATCCCGGAGACCTTTCCCACTGCGCAACTCCATCCCGGAGACCCTTTCCACTGCGCAACTCCATCCTGGAGTGCCTTCCCACTGCGCAACTCCATCCCGGAGTGCCTTCCCACTGCGCAACTCCATCCCGGAGTGCCTTCCCACTGCGCAACTCCATCCCGGAGTGCCTTCCCACTGCGCAACTCCATCCCGGAGGCCCTTTCCACTGCGCAACTCCATCCTGGAGTGCCTTCCCACTGCAACTCCATCCCTGGTTGCCTTCCCACTGTGCAACTCTATCCCAGAGACCCTTTCCACTGCGCAATTCCGTCCCGGAGACCCTTTCCACTGCGCAACTCCATCCCGGGTGCCTTCCCACTGCGCAACTCCATCCCGGAGTGCCTTCCCACTGCGCAACTCCATCCCGGAGTGCCTTCCCACTGCGCAACTCCATCCCGGAGTGCCTTCCCACTGCGCAACTCCATCCCGGAGTGCCTTCCCACTGCGCAACTCCATCCGGAGGCCTTCCACTGCGCAACTCCATCCCGGAGTGCCTTCCCACTGCGCAACTCCATCCCGGAGTGCCTTCCCACTGCGCAACTCCATCCCGGAGTGCCTTCCCACTGCGCAACTCCATCCCGGAGTGCCTTCCCACTGCGCAACTCCATCCCGGATTGCCTCCCCACTATATATATCCTACCTGACTCTGTCCCTGGAGATTTTCGTCCCTTCTCTGATTTTCTCTTCTTTTCCAAAACAACAGCAGCAACAGCAACTTGCGTCGCTTTAGCGCCCAACATATAGGGCGGCGTGCCTGACACGTTACCCTGCTTTATTGCTCTTTTATCATTCACTCTCAAGTTGTAGCTTCTGCCGGTCTTCTCGTCTTCTCGGGAACGCGCGTCTGGTTATAGCTCTTTTGTACCTCTCCCCCCCCCCCCCCCCAGGTTATAGCTCTTTATTCCCTTCTCTTCTCATCTGCCTGTCTGGGTTACAGACACTCCCCGCAGTTGTAGCTCTTCTTCTCGTCTCCTCATCTCCTCTTCTTCTCGTCTCCTCTTCCCGTCTCCTCTTCCCGTCTCCTCTTCTCGTCTCCTCTTCCCGTCTCCTCTTCTCATCTCCTCTTCCCGTCTCCTCCTCTTCTCGTCTCCTCTTCCCGTCTCCTCTTCCCGTCTCCTCTTCCCGTCTCCTCTTCCCGTCTCCTCCTCTTCTCGTCCCCTCTTCTTCTCGTCTCCTCCTCTCGGGCGTCGCTCCGGGGGGGGGGTCTGACTTTCAGAGCCGACGGACCCACCTTTATGCACCTCGGCGTTGACCAGCCCTCAGCCGATTGGCGAGGATGGAAAAAACGCACACGACCCATTGGTCGGCGACTCCGCTCGCCGGCCGATTGGCGGTCCGGCGGGAGGCGTCCGATTGGACAGCGGCGCGACCTGTTTCCGATTGGCCCTCCGACTTTGAGCGGGAAAGTTGTGAGAAAGGCGTCAACGGGGCTTTTCTCCGCTCGGCCACTCTGAAGGGCGTCTGAAAGCCACTCGATTTCAATAGGAACGTAACAGCAACCCTCGCGTTTGATATCGCGCCCTCGAGACGCCTGAAAGCGCTTCACGCAATACTGTCCTGTCAAGCGATTTGGCACAAATTTTAATCACATTTTTAAGATTTCACCTCTCTTTTTTTTTATTATTATTCGACCGTACGTGGGGTTACCGTAAAGCTGCCATAGGTCCTACCTTTATAAGTCGTCTAATCGCTCCAGTGGCGCTTCCGTTTGTTTTCGAAAAACTTTTCAAAATATTTTCTTTTCATTTTTTTCGCCACATTTGGGGGCACCAATAAATAATTCCGTGTTGCCTCAGTACGCACCGACATTGCGGCAGCTGTCGTTTTGAGACGGGACCTGTTGCTGACTGCCCCACTGACTTCGAGCGGGAAAGTTGTCAGAAAGGCTTCCACCTGCGTTTCTCCTCACGGATGGGCTGAAGGCTAACCCTCGCCGAGTTCCGAGGCCTCTCGCAATGCTGTGCCACATTCTCCCTTGAGATAAATAATTCCACACATGATAGATTTTAAATACCCGATCGTATCTCCCACAAGGCTGCCTTTTTATACAAAAAGAGCCGATATTTTAACAACTTATATCAAACGGAGCAGAGCTCCCGTTTGTGTTTAATTTACAATATGTGAACATGGCTCCAAACTCATTATTTTATATTAAATAAGTGACACTATATATATTTTAATTGTTATATATATATAGAATGTACTTTACTGTATATTCTGTGAAGTGCTTTGAAACGTCTCAATGACGTGATAAGGCACTATATCAAATTCTAGAATTATTATTTTATATTAATTTAATAATCTTTGCATTTGATATAGCCCCTTAGCACGTCGTTCAGATAGCTCAAAGTGCTTCAAAGAATATAATGAAAAGTGCAGTGGCTGTATATTTGTGGGCGAAATGCGGCAGCCAATTGTGCACAACAGCGTCCCACAAACAGTCGTGTGTTGGGTGACCAAATTGTTATTTTTTTACATTTTATTTTTATTTTTTTATCATTAAGCTCCGAGTTTCACTGTGACTAATCTTAAGGGTGTCGTGGTTCTGTCAGTACTTCCCTTCAGTGGAATACGCCTTAGGAACAGTGAGCTCTGGAAAATGCAGTCAGACACCTGGCAACAAAAATATATTTGTTTGAAATCTTTAGGGTTTATTTTGAGTGAAGCTGTACGGTTAGGACAGAATTCTTCTCTCCCATCAGAGCAACAAGAAATGCGATGCATTATTATACTGCACAGAAAGAAAGTAGTGTTAACGTTGTTTTGACGCACCCCGATGTTCAGAAGTGTAGTGGTAACATCTTGAGATTATAAGCAGCGGGAAAGCTTGCGGGAAAGCAATATCAGTGGCAAGCTATACATTTTCCTCCTTTGACTGACTTGTGTGTAAGATGAAAAGGATGTACGTGAAGACGATATTGCACGTTGAAAGCTGAATTTATGTCTCAGTGTTTTTTTTGATATTGTAGGGACTCCAAATCCAAAGATAACTTTCAAGATGTCCGAAGTAACAATAAATGCTGACGGAAGGGTGAGCACCTAGTCATAGTCACCAAATTTCCAGCGCGAGGGGTTTCTCTTGACAATAACCGCGGCGCTGTTGTTTCTCCTCTCTAGATCGTGAGCGTCGTCGACAAGGAGCTGGTCCAACCCTTTGAGGACCTTTTTCAAGGGACGGAATACATTGCACGGGTCGGGTGGACTCGAGAAGGGAAATAGTGCGTATGCCACAAATATCGCTCACATCTTGTAGCCCGCAATTCCAGGCGCAAAGCTATGTCATTCATCCCCGAATCATTCACGAGCTGAAATTCTCATCAGCGTCCAGAGGAGCGGCATTGTACTATTGCGCTCTGCAAAAATGAACCGAGTGTTCATGTGTCTGAATCTATGAAATATTGATTTCCTCGCAGTGCCTGGGCCATCATGCTCGATCGACCCCAAACCAGACTCCAGATTGTCCTGATTTCCCCTGCTTTATTCATCCCCGTAGTGGATGATGCAACAGAGCAGCAGAAACTGGTGGAGTCTGTGCCTGACAGCGTGACACCATTGATTGTGCTTCAAGAAACAACAGACATTTGGATAAATGTACGTAGCGGCTATATTATGTCCACGCCTGTTAACCCAACCCGCCGAGCATTGTGATTGCAAGTTTTCACTCCAGTGTTATTTTTGCGTGGGATGTGGACACATGCTCCAGTAAATATTCACGTGGGAAAAAAAAACATCCCGGGTAACTACAGTCAGCCAAACACTGGACTTTGGACCAGAAGATTCTGGGTTTGATTCCTGGTGGATGCACTAGCCTTTCAGGAGATTGTAAAAATAAGTACGATATGCCACGTATCTTCTTGTGGGGGAGGTGATACACTGGAGGTGAACCGACTTCAGGGTGGTGAGGCATTTGTTTGAAGAAGCTTGTGTTTGTTGCCGCTGTGCTCGTTTGAGTGCTGGCGTTAAGGCAATTAGTAAGAACCAGGCAGGGAAATCTGGCGATGCTATTGTTGGCCTGACAAGTGCTGTCTCAGGTTGCCAGCAGTGGAGAGATGCTCAGTTGCCTTACTTTGACACACTCGTGTCATTGAGTTGCATCTCAGTCTATTTGGATCCTGCCAACGCTTTCAGTGCTGTGTCAGTAATTTAAGGTTCGTGCCTTTTAAGCGAGTCTCCTCCCGAGTACATCATTATGAAGCAAGGTGCGATCTGGTGACTAATTCTGAATTCACACTCCTCCTCTCCCTGCAGATACACGATATACTTCACATATTTCCTCAGACAAAAGAGGATGAGATCCAGTTCATTTTTGCCTCTGAATGTAAAACTGGCTTCCGACATCTTTACAGAATCACAGCTGCCTTGGAGGAGAGCAAGTACAAGCGATCGAGCGGCAGGACGCCCTCTCCAGGTAAAATCCCCGACTGAGCTCCAGCTAAAGAAAAGATACGACTTCTCTCAAATTCCATGTACCCATCCACCCACACACAAATGCACGTACAGGAGTTGTTCGACTCCTCCAGCTCCCCATGCCCTGTCTCCCATGTGACAAATGGCCTGTGTGCTCTTTACGCACTTGAGTGTTGTTGATACTTGACTATTTTCGGCTAAAGCGCTCCTTGTGTTTGCCTTCGCAGAGCGGAAGCTGATTTATTGACATGTCCTTTTTCCCAGATGATTTTAAGTGTCGAATTAAAGAAGAACTACCCCTGACCAGTGGCGAGTGGGAGGTGCTGGGGAGACATGGGTCTAATGTACGTATCGCACCACCCAGCAAAATTCTCTCTTAATTTTTCCTCGTTTCGGAAAAGGAGGCACTTTTGTTCTTTCACAAGCCACGCGCTTTGTTTGTTTGTCTTGACAGATTTGGGTCAATGAAGCTTCGCAACTTGTTTATTTTCAAGGCACAAAGGACACTCCTTTAGAGCACCATCTGTACGTGGTGAGCTGTCAAACCCCTGGCGAGGTTGTGCGATTGACACAGCTAGGCTACTCTCACACCTGTACTGTCAGCCAGGTAACAACTTTCTCTGTTGGCAAACCCGTGATTATTAACAATATAGGTGGGATGCATGGAATTCTCAGTTTGGTTTGGATACTCATAAGCATGGTGCCTAGCTGACCAAAATAAAATGCAGCTACAAGATTCGACAACATATTTACTGTAAACGAGAATAATTCTACCATTGAGACAGCGCAGCAGGATATCGAAACGTCCCGCTTCACAGATACGGTCACGCCGATTTCCACCCTGTCCAGTTAGTTGATGCGCCTTGGGACATCCTCCCAACGTGGAATTTTGTATTGTGTCGACGGTGCATGCAGCGGAGTGACAATGGACGTCTCTATTATTTGCAGAATTTTGACATGTTCGTAAGCAAGTTCAGCAGCCAGGAGGAACCACACAGCGTCCATGTTTTCCGGCTCACGGGACCAGAGGAAAACCCTCTCCACAAGCAGAGGGAATTTTGGGCCACAATGTTGGAATCACCAGGTACAGTCATTCTGCAGTCGATGGTCAGCGCTAAGCATTTTGTTCTCTGAATCCACACGAGGTAACACAGTGATATAGTTGTGCGAAAAGAACACGGGGGCAGAAGTTAGCGTGTGAAATTCTGACACGGAGGGAAATGGGGGCAAGCGTTGCCACAGTGAAATGCACATACTCTCTGTTACCTGCCTCTCTCTGACCTCCAACCCTAATAAAACATGTGGCCCAAAGCCTCGCCCATGAACCTCTTCCCTTTCTCCTCTGCTTGTTATTACAGGTTGCCCTCCGGATTACATTCCTCCAGTAATGTTCAGCTTTGACAGCACGTCAGGGTACACGTTACATGGGATGATGTTCAAGCCTCATGACCTGCAGCCGGGCAAGAAATATGCCACTCTCCTCTACACGTACGGTGGGCCCCAGGTAGGTTTGTGCTCTGGGACGCTATCCTGCGTGAGGAGTGCTATATGAACACAACTTGTTGTTAGTTAGTTGTCACTTGTGCCTCCTTTCCTCCCGCCTTTACCTTTGTGAAACAGTTTTCCTCACTCGTTCTTTTTGATTTCTCAACCGTACCCACCTCCCACTGTCAGGGAAGGCAGTGGGGCAGCCATTGTTAGTTCCACGCGTAGTGTGAGATTGGATGTGCGAACATCAAGCTCGATGCTATTGTTGCGATCGGGTGTTGGCATCACTGAGTTAGTTAGTCCCTCTGTTTGTAGGTTTCAATCTGTTGCTGATTGAAACTCTAACTGTACCTCATTCTCCACCCACAGGTGCAGTTGGTGAACAATCGCTTTAAAGGAGTCAAGTACCTGCGTCTGAACACACTGGCGGAGCTTGGCTATGTGGTCGTTGTCATCGACTCCAGGGGCTCCTGTCACAGAGGCCTTAAGTTTGAAGGTGCCTTGAAGTGCAGCATGGTAGGTGGGAGCAACACGGTGTCAGATCTATTGGTAACCGAGTGGGTTTGGGGGGTTGAGGTGGAGAGGGAGGGGTGAGGGATTGGCAAGGTAGGCGTCAGGGTGGAGGAGGTGGGGGTTCACCCACAGTCCGATAAATAATATGTAGATGTGCAGTTTAACTCTGTCTTTCTTTTACTGGGGAGTATGTGGAGTTGGAAGTAAAGTTTGTGATTGTGACTTTCCTTGGCAGGGTCAGGTAGAGGTGGAAGATCAGGCGGAGGGACTGCAGTATCTGGCAGCAAAGTACAGGTTCATCGACAAGGATCGCATTGCAATTCACGGCTGGTCGTATGGAGGCTACCTGTCCCTCATGGCACTGGTGCGCAGACCAGAAATATTTAAGGTGCGTGTGTTCACTTGTTCCGATTCACGCGATATCTATCCTAGCATTCATTCACCAGTAACAACAACAACTTGCGCTATTGCAGCACCTTACAGAGATGGTACCAGATACCAACAGGGACAGCGGAGGGGTGTGGGAGAGAATGAAATGACCACAGGCAGCTTTTCAGGTAGGTTTTCAGGAGGCTGTTGGTGGATAGATTACTGGAGGGTGGGGTTATAGTGGTCGAAGATGGTCAGGAAGGTGTACTTTGTGCGTTTCGCCCACAAAATACCCAGTCAATTCACTTTACAATGTATTCTGCTTATCCCTTTTTTGAGAAGTCTCAACGACATGATAAAGTGCTACATTATTATATTATATTTATTATTAGTATAATTATTAAATGCCCTTGAACTGGAACTTGTTCCATTGCAGGTTGCAATAGCTGGAGCCCCAGTCACACTGTGGATGTTTTATGATACTGGTTACACAGAACGCTACATGGGCCTGCCAGACCAAAACGAACACGATTATGATCTTGGATCAGTAGCAATGCAAGTTGATCACTTGCCTCTCGAGTAAGTAATCACCAGTTGTTGGTCTCTGTTGTGTCTGACAGTTCTCAGCCAGGTGCGACTTGTATCCTGTTTAGTGCATTATTTGCTACAGGCTCTGGTGACTGTTATCGACCCTAAGATCTGTGGAACTCGCGACCGTTTTGCTGCACTCTCCACTTTGCGCCGAACAGGTATTAAGGAGCAAACTGTGCCAAGGCATAACAACCAAAATTGTTCTCTCACCTACAGACCAAATCGACTACTGCTCCTACATGGATTCCTGGATGAAAACGTTCACTTTGCTCATACCACTCTATTTCTCAGCTTCCTCGTCCGAGCGGGCAAACCCTACGACTTGCAGGTAATGTATTGGCCTGTGTGTATCACCCAGGAAGCTGTTTGCCAGGGTGTGAAATGGGAGTTCTCCCTTCCCTTTCTGTCTATATTTGGGAGGAGGAGAGAATAGTGCAGCCCAGACTGGTCTCTGTGGACACTAGACCGATGTACCTCTCAATGGAATTAGTTTGCCAGCCCCAGTTATTTTGGCCATGATCACAAAGGCTGGCTGATTGGCATTGTGACTTTGGGTCAGATGCCATGCATACTGCTCCACAGATCATTGTCTCAGAAAAGTTCAACCTCTTCAGACTGTTGATCATTTGGTATGGAGTTTTTGTGGCGGATGGAGCTGAGAGCCTGTTATTATAGTAATAATCCTTGTATTTGATATTTCAAATACAAATTATAATATATTCCAGTGGAGTTATAAACGTTAGCAGATACGCGTGTCCCTTTCCCATTTTTATCACCGTTTTCCTCCCCTTTCAGATGTACCCTCAGGAGCGGCACAGCATTCGTGTCCCAGAGTCTGCGGAACATTATGAACTGTACCTGCTCCACTACCTTCAGGAGAACTTGGCTTCCCGGCTCGCTGCTATGAAATAGAAGACGCTGTGTGATTTTTTTCTCTACATTTCCCATCTCAGCCAGTAACTCAACAGGATAAGAAGCAGGAGAGTGACAGCAACCCATTTCTCACAGATAGCCGTACTTTCTCCTACTGTCATGAATAGCAACATTCCTCCACCACTTCATCGTAGCATCGCTATATCTCACAAATTGTGACATCCCGCTCCCCACTCCCCTCCTCAAAAAGTGGTGTCCCTCCATCTTGCTAATAGTGCCTGACGATGACTTTTGCCAAGAATCTAAATGGATCCAATCCATATTCAATCTATGGTCGCACAATCCTCTGCATTCAACAAGAGTGTCGGCATTAAGGCAGAGCGTTTTTGAAGAAAGCACATGAGTGGATTTGTGTGTGTGTGTGTGTGTCAGCCCAACCCTAATCTTTACTAAGTAACAGATAATTAAAATTCCCAGGTTGCCCAATTCTTTTATTCCCTCTTGAGTGACTCCATATGGGATCCTCAGAGAGGGTGTCATTTGATCATCTGCTTTCAGTGCTCAGTCCTACTGCTATCTATTTCTGTCACAATAACAGCTCACTCTCTCTCTCTCTCTTTCCGACCCTGTTCTTCATCTCCTAAATTGACGCAAGCACAACCTACCCATGAATATTCCGTGGATTCCTCAACCAAGGTGAAGTGCAGATGTTTCTATAAACTTCTGAGCATTTAAAATGGTTGTTGAATTGACGTCACACAAAACATCTTTTGTAGACTATTTACTCTCTTCATGAACTAGAAGTGAAAGCCTTTCTTTTGATTAATGACTGATCTTCTCAGCTTCCAAAGTGCCAAACACTTTTTCTTTACAACTGGTATTTGCAGTGGAAGGTTTAAAGAAACCTAGCGGATGTTTAAAGAAACGTCTTTGCTGACTTAGGTTCTGATGCAGCACTCCGCTGTGACAATAACAGTCATGGCAGATACTGGGGATTGTTACTTTAATGTGGGAGGATGTTCACGGAGATGCTGCTTGGGAACAGTGATTTCTTCAACGTCACTGTCAAAACGCTCTTCATACTATTATCTGAGCATTAATAATGAGATGGGCCTGCCAGTGTAGTTCTCCTTCACTGTGATTCTGTCCGATGCACTGCATTTATCATCATCTCCATCTTTCCTTCTGTATCATTAGCCAGGGAGATGGATCAAGGGCAGGTTAGATGAGCCGGAAGTGAATGAGTAAGGTTGTAGAACTAGATCTCAGTTCAAAGGAAGTGTATTTGATCACACAACTCTTTAAAGATAGGAACATAGGTGACAAATCAGTAGACCACGCTGCCTTTTTAATATTATCATGGCATTCTAGGGAAGGCATTTTGTAGCAAGTCCAATAATAACTGAAATTGTGGTTTGTGTTTTTAAGTATCCACTTGATGATAGGTTTGGTTGCATCCTCACTGGTTCATTAAAAAGGAGCAGCTTTCTGCACTTAAAAGCCAAGGGGACATTGCATCCTGGTGGACAGATCTGTTTCTCCTGCTCTTCAGTGAGTCAAGAGGAGCCGTACTGCCAAGTACCATAAATGTCTGATCAGTTGTAGGTCTTTATACAAGAACCATGCAGTTCAACCTCTTTAGTGAGGCTTGAAAAGACTCATGTTTCTGCGGCGCTCTGACCACGTTGATGGATTTATGATAGCTTCAATTAGCTTGCGTGTTACATGAAAGAATTTGTTGGAAAATGTACTGAATGTAAATAATACTAAATCAACACCTTGGTTACTGTCGTGCTTTCAGTCACTTGTAATACATGTAATATGAAGGATGATTTTTTTGGTGGGGGCGGGGGGGGGAGAGGGGTCAAGTAGCACTGTCCGAGTGATAAGATCAGCAACTGATGGTGTGATGGTACATTTGCCCCAGAGATTTGAATTAATGCTCAGTAAGAGGGACCTTGCATGTGCAGAGAAAGCAAGGATCAATCTATAATCCTATGAAAACTCTGTGAGATTATCCGAGAGACACCGAGTGTCCAGCAGACACAGGCAAGCATCATTGCATACTGCATCCAGTTCGCCTACCTCCTCAGTGAGACATTGCTAGATGGGCACAGACTTCAGTTTGGACAGCAAGACCAGTATTCTCAAAATGAAGCTCTTTTGTATTTTTGGTGCAGTTCTATCAGTTAACACTTCCTGGCTGTGTTTGTGGGACATCGCTGTGCTGTGCCTACAAAGAAAAGTCACCACACTTCAATGGAAATCCTGTGAAGCGCTTTGAGATGTTTCAACGACGAAAGGCGCTAAATCAAGTTTAAGGATTCTTAATTTTATAAACAGGAACACATGAAATTCACAACAGGACAGACAGTAAGAACCTGAAAGAAAAAAAATGTGTAGTGATGCTTGCAGCTTCCATCAGAAGTCATGTATATTGAGTTCTGATGTTGAGTTTAAATCCAAAGCATTAAATGTTTTTTTTCCACTTTCAGATCTTTATTGATTTGAACTGTAGATTTTCAGCAGTTGCAATTATTTTTGTTTCTTTTTATTTCAATAAATATTGGCTGATGTTGTCTGAGATACATAAGTTCAGGTATCTCTGGCAAAGCACACACTATTGAAGGAACGTTTGTACCATTCTCACAATTCTTAAAATAAACAACGATTTAAACTGCTTTTTTTTCCCATTTTCTTTTTGGTGGGTTAATGCTGTTCGAAGCTCTAAGGGTTAATCTTTGTCAAAACCTGTTGAAATTAACCAAACCAAAATGACCTGCCAGCGGAATACCATTTAGATAAGGACATCAGTCTGGAATCCTTCAATGCAAGAGGAAAGTGATGAAGTGAACAGCTTCATGAGGTTAGTGTTGGCCCTGGTAATGACCCCTTTCTAGTCCAGTTTCATGCTGAACCCACCACTTGACACTATCTGTTCAAGTTAACCAAACAGTTTAGATCCTTCCCGAAAGAAACAATTTGAAAAGGATTATAAACCCACCTAAGACCAGTCTCAGCAGCTTCCAATGTTAGTGATAGCTTGGGAAATATGTCATTGACCGTAAAATGTTTGATCCTTTGGCTCTCATTGCCCTATTTCGCCCACAAAATACAGTCAATTCACTTTACAGTATATTCTGAAGCGCTTTGAGATGCTGCAACGATATGAAAAGGCGCTATATCAAATGTAAGGATTATTATGAATATATAAAGGGAACGTTCTGTATTGATGACACTGCAGTGTGATTGGCAAACCACACACTGGATAATGATACCAATTAGTGTTACTGGAGAATTTCAGTGTGACTTATCAATGGCTGCAAAGGGTGTTGTTTCATCCCAATCACTAGCTACAGATCCACAGCTCAAGATTCTATATTATTTCTCAATATTTTACCCAATTTGCTGTTCATCTACTCAGTTACTACGTGACTACCGGTCACTCTCAATGTTGCTAATATCCTCAAGCAATTTTCGATCATCCTCAAACTCAGTGCAAAGTACCTTTGGCGAGGTTAATGGATTTAATGAACAGCTGGAACCCTCAGTATTAATTCCAGGCAGACTTCACTGGTCACAGCTGCTCAACTCAAGTGATTGTAATTGATAACTCCTCTGTTTTCTATTAACCAACAAATTAATGATCCAGATCCCACAAGTTCTGGCTAAACCAACAAGTCGCTGATACATTACGGAAAAAAATGGGATCAACATGCAGCCAGCCCTCTCCCAAAAAAGCATAGTCTTTAAACAAGTGCGATGTTACATCTTGATGGCAATGGTTTTCAATGCAATTGATTCGAAAACAAGCTTTAGGGGCAATACAACTCACCATTGATAAACTGCTTATATATCAAGAGCTGATTTATTGTTCAATTAAGCGTGTTGCATTATATGGTTTCGGGGAACATTGGTTGTGATCTATTCCTTATTTGTCACATTTACAGCCGTCCATTAGTACCTTTTAAGGCCATTCTTCAGCGAGGGAAAATGAACGTGATTTTGAACACCTTTTAACATCAAACCACTGAAGCACGGTAATTACACAGCCTTTAATAATGCTAAGTGTATCACAAAATGTTTGTCAGCTGCATCTGCTATCGTTGGACATTGAACCATTGGTCTACTTCTAAATCTAAATAGAGAATTAATCCAAGGGTGCAGCTTGCTGCTACAAGATGATAAATGAATGTTAATGCAGCCAAGCTTTTAACTGTAAAGGCTTAATAAGGAAATAAAGTGACGGGGTTAGCAGAGTAGCTATTCTTTCAACAATTTATGTTCCCATTGCAGGGGAAAATTGTTGAGGGCTGAGCTTACAAGAAATCTAATAATAATCCTTGCATTTGATATGGCGCCTTATCGTGTCGTCGAGACATCTCAAAGCACTTCACAGGCTATACTGTTAAGTGGAGTGACTGTGTATTTTGTGGGCGAAGTGAAATGGTGGAGGAGGCTAGGATGGTCAACTCAAGTAAAAGCAAATGGCTTGATTCTGCAATCGGAAGACATACAGAGAGTATTCTGGGAGATTGAGATGAAAAGGGCAGAAGTTTTTTCTCCTTAAATAATAATGATAATAATAATCCTTGCATTTGATATAGCGCTTTTCACGTCTTCTAGACATCTCAAGGCGCTTCACAGAATATGCTGTAAAGTGGATTGACTGTATATTCGTGGGCGAAATGCGGCAGCCGATTGCGCACAGCAGCGTCCCTTATCCACGCCTACCTTGCGAAAAAAAATCTAAACTTTATCAAGCTTGAAGAATAAAGGTTTTCTCTGATATGTGTTATGTACCTAAGTACCGTGACAGTGTCATGTAACTTACGGGATTTCTTGATACGATTCCTAAATAAGGAACAACCTAAAGAAGTAAGGAATCTGCAAAAGGGTGCACTGCCTCAGCCTACCCCCATCTGGTGAAGTCGATTGCAGAGCTGTGTGGCTGAAACAGACAGTCATACCCAAAGGAGGGCGCCCGAGGACTGGAAAGTGATATAAATGCAGCAAGCTAAACATCCTGGGGGGGGGGAATAGCCTTCATCAATGTGGTTAAGAGGATATACTATCATTGTTGCTATTTAATTTTACAATACAGCTGTACTGTTAGAGTACATTAAATAATAGGTGCACTTCTTCAGAGAAAGAACATGCTCCAGTCAAAGGCACATAAAGACATCAATAAATAACTGCACAGTTTAATGTCTGATGGTTTTACTTCTTTACTGATGGTTGACAGGTATACTGGTTACATTTTGACACTGGTGTATGCAACTAATAAAAGAGAAGCAATGCAAATTGCTCTGTTGATGCAGAAGGTTCTGCAGAGCACATTTACTCTCTCTCACACACACACACACACACAGAGGGTTGCTAATGCTGGAGGGCAGCTCTGCTTTGCTTTTGAGACAAAGTAAGAGGCATTTTTACAATGCAGTTTCTTGCTGCAGAACTAAAAGCTCTGAATAGATTCCCCCAACAGCTCCGAGTGCAGCACAATGATGACTTTACAATCAGCTCTTGGAGATATCGTGCCAAGTCCGTGTGGTTATATGGCGTGCGCTATGGGACACTATCCCGTGTGAATGGCGCTATATAAATGCAAGTTGTTCTTGCCACTGTCAACTGTCAGGTGACTCATTTCCAGTGGAGTTTGAGTAGACACTAGCCCCAGAGATAACAAAACTTCCCTCTCCTGTGAGATCTGTTTGGGACAAAGCTGTTATGTTGCCCAAAATATGTCCTAGTCTCTTAATGTTAGAAGGGTTCGTATCTTCTACAAACGCTTGTCATCTGCCTGTCCAATTCTCAGTCCTTAGGCTGCCACTTCAGTTCCATTGTCTAATTGCCCATACTCTCACCGTGTACCCCGACACCATGTACCCTATTGGCAAAAGAAACAGAGGGGAGACGAGGAGACACTTTTTTATGTAGAGAGTTATGATCTGGAATGCATTGTCTGAAAGGGCGTTGGAAGCAGATTCAATAATAACTTTCCAAAGGGAATTGGATATGTATTTGAAAGGGGAAAAAAATGAAGGCTATGGGGAAAGAGCTGGGGGAGTGGGACAAGTCGGGTAGCTATTTGAAAGAACCAGCACAGGCACGATGAGCTGAATGACTTCCTTCTGTGCTGTAGGATTCAATGCCTCTATGATCACCTTTACTTATTTATGACAGTGCTGAACCCCTAAGTGGAGAAAGAAATGATCAACTGATGGTTTGTGTTTCTGAGACAATCTTTTGAAAGAATCAACTTAACTCTCAAGCTTCTGTTTTTACCTTTTGATATTGGGCCCAATAGAGAATTATAAACTTTTAATAGAATATCTAGTTTATGTGAATGAAAAGATGGCAACACATGATCATTAGTGTACTGTGAGTCATTGTTTCACATCAATAGTTCAATTGAATCAAATCAGATCCTTTTCTTGGCATGGAACGTTGGCACTGATGCCCGAGCACTGAGAACACAAGAACAAGGGCTGAGCTGCAAGTTGATAGGATTTATGCAGTGGAGTCAATACAATCTGGTCACCATGTGGCAATACTAACAACATTTGTTTCAGCCTGTACAGCTATAGGAGGATAGTTCACAACGTGTAATAAATCTTCTTTTTATGTTAAGATCCTGCAAAGTTAAGACAGTTTCATAGAGTGCAAGCGTCCTTGGAATGCTCTGTTTTCGCACTAATGCTATCTGACTGCCTTTGAAGTGTGTATAAGAAGTTTATTGTGTACTTAGTCGTACTTTCCAGCTGTTACAACAACCTCTTCCAATGTACCTTTAATACCCATTTGCATTTTTTTTCTTAAGGACAAGTTAGTGTACTTTTTTAACGTACGTATATTTGCTACAGTTATCTTTATGAACTTGGTTGTAAATGCATCACATCTACAGCAATGCAGTTAGTAAGATTGTTTGGTAAGCACACAGGGCAAGGAAATTGCTGGCTCTCTGCATATCCCTCTCTGCATATAATAATGTTTGCATTTGATGTGACGCATAACTTTGAATTGTCTCCAAATGCTTCACAAAAAATTGCTGTCATGTGTAATGAATGTATATTTGTAGGTAAACAGGACATAGGAACATAGGAACAGGAGGAGGCCGTTCAGCCCTTCAAGCCAGTTCCGCCATTTAATTAGATCATGGCTGATCTGTACCTCAGCTAATCCTTTCAATTCCAATTTCCCGCTTTCTCCCATATCCCTTAATACCCTGAGCTACCAACAGTCTATCAAGGACATTTTTAACATATGCCTGAATGGTCAGACAGGAACTCATTTTAACATTTCAACTAAAAGATGGTACCTCCAGAAATGCATTGTTCCCCACCCCCCAATACTGCACTGGAGCATTAGCCTGGATTGTAAATTCAAGTCCCTGACGTGGGGGGTTGAACCCACAGCTTTCTAACCCATAGACTAGAGTGTTACCAACTGAATCAAGCTGCCACCATGTGTCTGTTCAAACAGCAAGAATTCAGCTGTTTCTGTGTATATATAGCTAAATTCTATTTTTAGTGCACTTCAGATACCATTCCATGAGCTGGTGAGGCACTCCAGAGAGACCAGTCCTTTGGACTCTATTTAAGGGGTAGGATTTTGTTTTCATTAATAAAATTACTTCCATCTGGCGCCATTCCAGTCAACTCTCAACTCTCATATGGATCAAGGGTTGAAATTAAATTTATTACTGATTTGAAAATCTTTATCCCAAAGTATCTAATCCTTTTCATGGTCGGGTTACAGCAAGAGATTTTGCAGTGTTAATGTGGGACTAGTGATGAAGTACTGTGCTCCCTGCAAGCCAGTGTACAGTACGAATGAGAGAAGTGACACTAGCTGGAAAACTGTAGCCAGGAATTGTATTATAATAATAATAATCCTTGCATTTGATATAGTGCCTTATTGTACCTTTGAGACATCTCAAAGTGCTTCACAGAATATACTGTAAAGTGAATTGACTGTGTATTTTGTGAGGAAAACGTTGTGTTTGAAAGGTTAGAGGTGAGTTGCGTGTCTGAAAAGTTAGAGGAGAAATACGGCTATCGATATTTGAATCAGTAATGTCACTGTTTGTGTTGCTTGGCATGACTGACACTGGGCATTTTTACTCTGTAAACTTACAGCATTAAACTCCCAAATGCTTCAATGGAAATGTAGGCGATCCATCCCCAGATCCCAGTGAAGATCTGCACTGGCTATAAATTGAATATTTCACTGTCAATAATTACCCTGTTACTGCCAGGATACAGACTCTGTGAATACCTTTAGTGGAAGGCATTGCAAGATATCTGGGCTAGCATTCTCATGATCCCTGTGTATTGGTGACTAATCTTATTATTATTATTTTACCCACAAAACCTGTGATAAAGTGTTGTATCAAATGCAAGGATCATTATTATTATTAATCTTAAAAATTTACTCTCATTATTCCTTTACTCTTTCCCTTTCTCTTCCACAGCTGTGCTGTGTTTGGCGCAGAATGCAATCACAAGATGCGCCCAATCTCTGATTAAATTCTCCCAGCGGCCGCTGTGATTAAATAAAATGCGAAACGCCATTTGTAATCTACTCCAATCTCCGTGGCACAGAAGAGGGCCATTCATCAGTGAAAAGGCCTCATGTATTGTTTCATTATATTCGAGTAGTCAAGCTCAAACAATAGTGGTTATAGCTGTCAGCTGACACATTGCTTTCCGAGTTTCTGTTGGCCTAGTTCCGGGGTTTCAAGCCAACACTTTATACATTCCTTTACATAACAAATGGGACATAAAATATCAAACTATTTAGTGCCTTCTTCCAAGATGCTTTCCTGTGCCCTCCCTTTCAGATAACAGCTTCGGTGTCAAATATTCCCTTTTTTTAAGACGAGAAAAACAAATTCGCCTCCGCTCCGCTCAACAAATTGCAGTGCTGTCATTCAGTGCAGCTCACAGATTTGTGAAAGCCATTTGAAAAAAAATCGCCGTGTCAGATTGCAAAAGCAATTAATAATGCAATTAGTATAATAGAATGATGCAATTGGTTTAGAGGGGAGGAATAATCATTCGCGAGTGTGGTGAAGTTATGACAAAAATTTCTCAACTGTAAGAACAACACACACAAAGTAAGCTCAAACCGTAACTGTTTGGGGAACTTTGCTGCGCGCAATTGGCTGCCGCGTTTCGCCCGCAAAATATACAGTCAATTCACTTCACCGTATATTTTATGAAACGATTTGAGACGTCTCAACGATGTGAAAAGGCGCTATATCAAATAGAAGGGTTATCGTTGTTATTATTAAGCTCTTAGGAAGAGATCGCATGAAGAACTCTGAACCACCTCCATTCCCCCTCGCTTTCCGTGGCTCTGTTGCTCTACTCAGTCAACACTTTGATCTTCACTTCTATGCACGGACTGTGTTTGCATTGCAAAGCTATTCTGCAGCGTTTTCAAATCAACCTTGATTTTGCAGGCAGGGTTCCAGCTCTGAGACTACTGCTGGGCTCCACAACCCTCTTCCCTTACCCACCCTCCCTTGTTGGGCTAGTTCCATCCTTCCCTGTCTCACAACCTGCTGGTTCGCCTTCAGCAACTATTGCATTGGACAGTTCCTTATAGCCAACAAGTGGGAAGGAACTATCAGTAATGATTTACGGCTGCAATTTGTACTCTGTTGGAAGGAAACAGTGAGAGGAATATTAGTGTTGCTCAGTTAGCTCCGATCTGTTGTGTTTGTGGATATAACCTGACTGCATGGTTAGCTTGGGTCAATAGTACTGAGTCACACTGTCTGTTGCTTAACACTATCCCAGTCTATGATTCTTCCTGCATTCCCAGCGCCACCCCAATGATAAGTTTGACTGCAGCAATTTCAAAATATTCCAATACTTCCATATGGCTGACTCCATCATTCAGTATTAATTGTTCTATGTATCATGGTCCTGACGCACAGTGACGATGATGGATAGTAAGTGGAGTACAAGAGGGACAAGTTTTAGTACTATAATATAATGATCCTTGCATTTGATCATTTTGTCGGGAGGATGTTTCAAAATGTTTCACGGCAGTTACAGTAACTGCATTTTTTAAGGGAATACGCACTGTAACATGTTGTAGTATCAATCAATTCTACCGCTTGAGTTATTTATATCCAACATGTCAAAGTACTGCACTTCCAAAGGTCACATCGGCAACTGTCAATTTCCAATCCTGTACTTCTGTATATATCACTGATACCATGGTTTAATACTAAATTACTACTGTCTGGATCATGATCATAATCGTGTTGTGCACATATGAAGTGGATGTTCTGTGACATAGATATAGTATGTGTTTGGTGAGAATTGTCTGTATGGGTGTATGGGCATGCCTATGCACGCACAACTGGCTTACGGTACGAAGTGGGTATTAAATGTGCATGTCTGGAGTGATATCTCCAGATGAGTAGATGAGTATTCTTTATGTGTAATGTAGATAGTGTACGCATTGAATGAGGAAGGTATACAGATGTATATATTGTTTTTAACTGTTAGTGGTAAGTGTTGTATTCAGATGCATGTGTGACAGGGTCAGGATGTGGTGAGCACCATACCCATATCTTTGGCATGACCCATTTGACTGAAGATTTACATCTATACCTTCGGATACGCTGGAACATTTCAATTGTTCGATTTCCATGGGTCACTTCACTCCACGACTGTTCTTGGGGCACTGCTGCTGCGCGCAATTGGCCGGCGCGCCCGCAAAGTCTACAGTCACTTCACTTCACAGTATATTCTGCGAAGAGCTTCAAGACGTCTGACGACACGATAAAGCGCTATGTCAAACGCAAGGATTGTTGCATTATCATTATGTCGCACGTAACTGTTTTTTTTTTTGGTGCAGTTGACGTTCAAGCGGGATTGCAGCACGGTCTTCACTCCGTGTTGAAATCTATTTTCATTAAAGTATAATGACTTATAAGGGAATTTATAAGGGGATCGGGGGCATTCACGCTTAAAGATGCAAGCCAACTGGTCTGTGTGTATTAATAACGGGCTGACTCAGGTTTGCACTTATTCGGCCGTGCGTACGGACATCTCCTCCCTCTCCGCCCCCCCCCCATCCCCCCCACCCGGCACGACATCGGGGGAGGGTGGGGGGGGGAGGTGACCGCGAGCACTGGTCAGCGCTCCGGGTCGCCGCCCTGCCCGAGGAGCGCCGCAGATCGAGGTGCCGGCCGCGGGAACTCCTGCGCGCGCTTTAACGGTGCCCCCCCCCCGCCTCGCTCTCCCCTCCACCTCCCGCTCTCCCACTCCCCCTCCTCTCCCCTCCCCCCCCACCCCCCCCCCTCACCCTCTCCATCTCGCACCCCACCCCACCCACCCACCCACCCCGGCTCGTTATCGGGCCGCGCAAGCGCTCCGGGACGCTGCCCCATCTAAGTGCTCGGCGTTGCGGCAGGTGGGGGGCGGTGGGGGGGGGGGGAGACCGTGTGACGTGCACGCATGCGCACCAGAGTCACTTCGGTGGAGCAGGTCCTGCAGCCCCGGTGCTCGGGGCGGGGCCCGGGGGTCGGGGGCGGGGCCAGGGCTGGGGGGGGGCGGGGCCAGGGCTGGGGTCGAGGGGGGGGGCGGGGCCGAGAGAGGGAGGGATGCTGAGTGCGCACGCAGGTAGGAGGTCCGGGCGGGCGGGCGGGTGGCAGTTGGGAGTCAGCGCGCGCAGTGGGGCTCGGGGGTGGCAGTTGGAGCCGTCCGCACGCGCGCATGTGTACAGGGCAGCCAGAGGGCTCGCGGGTCCGCCGTCTCTCTCGCTCGCTCACACACACACACACGCGCGCACGTAAGATGGCGATGGACGAGAGAGAGCGGCTGGTTCCGTCCAGCGGTTTATTTTGAAGAGATTTTTCTCTCTTTCTCTCTCTCTCTGTGTGTGTGTGTGTGTGTGTGTATATATATGTGTGAGTGGGTGTTGTCTTTCTCTCTCTCTCTCTCTCCCTCCGTTGTTGCTGCTGCCGCCGCCGCCCCTCCGCGCTCTCAAGTCAGAAGACCGTGTTTACATGGCGTTCGGACAGCTGTGTCTTCACTGCGTTCTCACTTGGACCCTCGCCGCCATACTCTCGGAAGGTGAGCCTGTGGACTGGGATGGAGTTTAGTTTTGTGGGTGGCTGCGTTCACCCCCTCCTTCCCCCCCCCCCATCTCCCCTCACCCCCCTCACCCCCCCCATCTCCCCTCACCCCCCCATCTCCCCTCACCCCCCCATCTCCCCTCACCCCATCTCCCCTCACCCCCCATCTCCCCTCACCCCCCCATCTCCCCTCACCCTCCCCCCCATCTCCCCTCACCCTCCCCCCCCATCTCCCCTCACCTCCCCCCCATCTCCCTTCCCCCCCCATCTCCCCTCACCCCCCCCCACCCATCTCCCCTCACCCCCCCCATCTCCCCTCACCCCCCCCCCATCTCCCCTCACCCCCCCCCCCCCCCCATCTCCCCCCCCCAACCCCCGTCCGCATCTTCGGTGACTCGCCTACTCGGGAGGAGCGACAGCACTCGGGACACTCGACCCTTCCTCCCTCCCCCCCCCCCCCGCCTAAGCGGTGTTCGTTTATGTGGGAGGGGGGGTAGAGAGAGAGACGGTGTGGGGTGGGGGTGAGTGAAGGAGGGGAGGTAACTGGACCACTGGCCGGGCTTACCTGCTGCCCCATGTGCCAGTGTTTGTTTAGCTTCGGGAGGCGCGTGTGTTCTGTTGTGGGAAACTGATGCGAGGGGCGTAAACCATGTGTGGGAGTGATGGAGAGGAAAGGGGGGGGGGGGGGGGGATGGACGGCCTTGATTTAAGCTGAGGTGTAGGGGCGGAGGCCGTAGGGTAATGGTGATCGATAATCCTCACTCGGGGAAGGATGCCTCGGAAGCGCTTTCGCGCCCAGCAGAGAGTGTAGTGACTGCGCTTTGGCGCGGCGCGGGAGGGAGGGAGGGAGGGAGACGGAGTAAACTTGCGAACGCATCTGTCGCCTCCCTCTTCCGAAGTGAAGGTGCCAAATTGCGGTTTAGTAAAACCTGTTTTCGTCGCGAATGCTCCGGGGGAGGACGATGAGCGCGGATCCATATGCTCGAAGGCGTCGCGCTGTTCTACCATATATCACGTCTCACATTGATAACGTACCCCCCCCCCATTTTGGCAACTTAATTCCAGAGTTGATGCTGGTTTGGGAATAACGGCAAATACTGAACTGCGCTGATCAAAGACTTGTTTTTCTTGGGCTATCACATGAGGAAAATCTCGGGGCTCTTGTCATCTTGCAATACAGAGCCACATGTCTCTGAAACCGCTATTTATGTGGGACTGTTGTCACATGTTTCTTTCCCCCTTGTTCAGTATTCTGTTGTCAAGTCATGGTGATTGATCTGTTTCTCGTGGAATCTGCATTACCAATTCAATCATGATCCCCCCCCCCCCCACAACTCGCCATCCTGTATCCTGATCACATTGGGGAATTTGGGAAAAGATTTTGTTTTTATATGAAATAGAAATACTGAAAATGTGAGATCTGATATGTTAACAGAAATGCAGTTACTGCTGTCAAAATATGAAGATGAATAGGTAACAGCAATCCCGTTAGGTTGAATCCCCAGTCCTTTTTAAATCCCAGTAGGTGCATTTAGATAATCTTTATTTAAAGGTTTTGAAACAAAATTGCAGCAGCAGTACATATGACCCAATTGCAAGACCTGTTGTTTAAAAACAAAATTGTATTTATTCACTTATGCTTCTCCCTGCTGGGCCTTCCTGAGACATGTACCATTGCTTAACTGTGAGGATGATAGGAAAGTAGTTCACCTTGTTATGCAACCTTATGCCTTACCAAACCAAGATGCTTGAAATGGAGCTCCAGTATAATGTGCCACAAATGAAATCATTAACCAATTTATTCGTTAATAATAATAATGTGGAACGTGGCATTGTCCTCAGATATGGCACGCTAACTGGAAAAAGGTGCTTTCTAGGAAGAAAGTATTCGAGCATTTGTTCTGCCTGCTTTCAAATCTCCACTTCACTGCAGGACATTGAAACAGTTTGCCAACAAGTAGTTGGTGATTTCTTTCCCTCTTGGTAGAATCCTGTAGTGGCAAAGCTAAAATTGGATCACATTATCATAGTGAAGATGCTCAGTGAAGGCTTGGATTTTTTTTCGTAGAATAGAAACTTTGAATGCTCCTGGTCTGATCATGTGCACCTCCTTATGACTGGTTGCTGAGCAACATTGTCAGAGGCTTTGATCAGGTTCGCTGGATGACTTAGCAAAACAGTTTGTGGTATGAAAGAACTGAGAGGGGTCAACTGTAAAGTTTGCATCATGCGAATTTGTGATGCATTTACGCAATACCTGCATTAATGCTTTGCCTTAACAGTATATGCCAAGTTTAAGGCAAATAGGTCTGGAGCTATTGGTTTCAAATATTTAATTTTTAGCCAAGCAGTATAAATAAGCAGCTGCAAATTGACCTAGACTCGACATCTTATTTTCAGATTTCTCTCATAGTCCTGGAGGCTTTGAACCAGATTATTTAAGTTTTGGAAGAGCTGGATGTGCATGCTTTTGGGAGTTTACATCAATTATTGTCACAGGATAAATACTTCAATGCTATTAAACAGTTCAGTATATATGCATAACTGATGTAGTGTTAACTTACTTAATGGTGCTTTTGTGAGTATCTAATACTGTTTCCATGGACCTTGAGTGTGGCTTTTTCAATTAAGCTATAGCAATCTCTGATTTCATTAACTTATTTCTGTAATAAAATGTGTAATACATTGGACCTATTACAGTTATCTCAGAAGTTTCTATGAATTTTAGGGGCAAATAGTTTCAAAATTAGCATTGTCTAATTGGTTGGGAAGCAACAAGACTCTAAATTCCTAATTTATCGCAGTCTTGATTCACTAAAGTCACATGTTGATGATCACTTACTGAATTTGTTTGACTCAGATCTGTGGTTTGGTTCTGTATAAGACACGGCTGCATGTTAGGAATCTTGATAGCAATTTAAAAATAAATCAAATGCCTTTGGTCTCTGTATTGTTAAAGTTAGTAGTGTAGATAAGTCTGAGCATGAAGATCAGTGGAAGTTTCTTTTAGGGAGGAAAGTACATAACTATATATGTGTTGTAGTATTGGATGCTGGATTGTTTTGATTTATGAAAAATAATTCACTGAGTGCTGGTGAGATTATGGTGAGCACTGAGTGTGTGTGTTATATATAGAAATGCTGTATATAAAACAATTTTGCTCACTTGGCTTAGTGTAAATAGGATCTACCTCAACTCTTGATATGAGATTTGAACTCATCCACATTATAGTTGAATTGAGAAAACTTATGCATGAATTGTAACCCTGAAGCCGTTTCACCTAAATATACTGCTCTCCTCCTCCAATACTCCTTTCAATAGCAGTCTTGGTCTCTCTCTCTCTCTCCCTCCCTCCCCTTTTGGTCTATGCAGTACGTTTCATTATCTATTTCACTGTGTAACCATTTGCTGCATCCCACAAACAGCCATAAAGTGAATGATCAATTTTAGCTGGGGGATTGGTGGCTGGCAACCCTATTATAACTTGGTCATCTGTCCCAATATCTGAGTCCATTTTGTTGGTGAAGAATGAAACATTGATGGACCTCCAGGTTATCAGGTCACTGCTGACATGGCTTCCTTTGTGAAGTGATGTCAGCAGTGCACGAATATTGCATAGGAAGTGGCATTTCTGCACATAGCTAATGGCATTTCTGTGCTGCGCAGGAATACTGACGTCACTTCACAAAGGAAGTGTCAATAGCGACTGATAACCTGAACGTTGGCCGTTTGTTAAGGGTAGGAAGCCAGCTTGTCAGCATCAAAAGGCAGATGTACCACCGTTGCAGTTAATACATATCCACAATACACAAGCACTCTATGTGAAGCTGTGATAAAATGGGGACATTGTAACCAGGTTGCTGTGTATTGTGCATGCTTGGTTGTATCACAAGGTGGCAGCCTCTTGCATCTGTTGATCACATTTCAAAATAAGTAGTTTTAGCCTTAATATACATCATGAGAATTCTGCAATGGCATGAACACATCTAGTTCCAACTATTGTTACTGTAGAGGTGCTCCTGTCTTACAATACTGTTTCAATTTAGTTTAGCTGCTTTCTTGTTGAATGGTTATAGTGCCATGAGATCCTTAATGTCCACCTGAACAGGCAGAAGGGGCCTTGGTTTAACATCTAATTTGAAGGACAGCACGTCGAACAACGGAGCACACTCTCAGCACTGCAATGGAGTGTCGGCCTGGACTTGAGTTCAAAGTCCCAATGTGGGGTTTGAACCCAGACCTTCTGATTCAGATGAGAGTGCTACCAATTAAGACAAGCTGACACTTGCCACTGAACCATGGTGATATAATTAAGGAAATGCCTATTTGGGAAATGGACATTCCTGTGGTGGAGAGTGGGGATTTGTTTTTCTTAAACAGCTGTTTTCTGTTTAATTGTTTTTTTTTTAAAAAGCCTTATTCAAAAACACTTCTGAAAATTCTGTTCAGATTGGCTTGACCATGGGCTTACTTGTCTTCAAGATTAGCAAATAGTTTTCCCTATTCTGCTGTTAAGCAGAGTATCACGGCAACATTAGATTCGCAATGGTAGCATGGGAAGTTCTGTGTTTTTACAATTCCCATTGATCCCAAGGTAGCAATTAAAATGTGCATGGGGGAGAAATAAAATAATCCTTTTCATCTTTACTGTCCAGGAAAAATGCTGATCTTTGGATTGATTTTATTATTGTACTTTGGCCCCAGCTTTGGTGGTGGCACTGTGAGGTAAATGAGGGCACTATTTTTCTGAGTACATAATCTACCTGCAAAGTTATAAAATGATCAGAAGATATAATTGCGATACAGTAGCTCCATAATTAATTGGTATGTTTTTGTATGTCACAAGAACTTGGGCATTTATTTGTCCAGTCGTCTCATATGTGTTTAATCATAGAACCTTTGTAGATTTGATGGCCTAAACAGAAAGGGTGTCCTTCATGAGGCAGTAAATGAACTCCATGTGGTTTCTAACCATAACATTTCTGGAGTCTTATTTTTCATTTGTTGATAGTTTTCGTCATTTTGTATGAATGATTCCCTTTAAAGAACAGTAGTTATTTATTATTGTTATTGATCAGTGAACTTTGATGGGTATCACAATATCAGTATTTATGGCCTACGTGATCAGTGTCTGTGATATAAACAAATTTAGAATCCCAGAGATATAACTTAATACAGTGAAACTCACAAGTGGTATCCATCAGGACCATAACATTTAATATGATTTGCACAAAGTCCGATCAGTATAAATTGTATAAAATCCAATTTGATCAATAATCATCATTGTGCATACATAATTAATTGCAGCTGGTAAGTGTGCATGGGGTAGTTCATCACCGCAGCCAGTAAAGTGCGCATGCGGTGACAGGTAAAGACTACATTTCCTGCGATTCAATGCGTCTTGACCCGTCGCCGCATGTGCACTTACCAGCAAACATTGGAATTGCATCGAAAAGACGTTGCTGAAGGAACTTTGCAATGCTATACAAGGTGTTTAATGGGATAGAACCCAGGAAGTATTTTTTTCCTATAGTGGGAAACTGTTAGCTGTAACAATTTCAAGAGAGGCTAGTTGAAGTCAGTATACTAGATTTTTTTTAAAAAAAGCATACACTGTATTGTAATGGGAAGATGATAAAGTTGATATTCTGGAAAGTTGAGATTAAATGACCTGAAGACCGCTGTTCATAGTAATCTACCATGATCTTGTGATTACAAATAGCTAATTGCCCAAACAAGGAAAAAGAATGTTCTCATAAAGAAATGTTACCATACACGTTTGATAAGATTTACAACTTTATAAAGGTATATATCTTGTGAATAACATTTTAAAAACTGATGGAAAGTCTTCACTCTTATCTATTTAAATTATTATTAAAGCGTTGAACAAAACTTGACTAAATTCATGGTGGTTTATATATGTTGCATGAAGGGTTCTGCATCCAGAATGTGCAAGTCTCAGTCACAAAACAAGCTAAATGGAAGTATGAACAGATGGCTCTGTTCTGGTGGACAAGCTGAATGAATTGTTAAAATCTCATGAATACTTTGTTGGAGGTCGGAAGGGTTTAGCGATGTGACAGCATTTGGATGGGTTTCATTAATCTGGTTGAATTCTGCACTGTTAGGAAAATTTCTCCAGACCAAAGATTGGGTATGCATGACTGCCTTCACACAAAGTGTAGATTGAGATGGTGGATTGCATTTGAAGATTGATCATGTGCATTAAACTAGCTCCACACAGTACCATAAAGTTAAAACACAGGTAATGATTCAGCTGGGCATAGGCAGAAATTATCTGCAATAAAAGAAACAATCTACAAAAGTGTTCAATCTGCTTGTCAGGGTACTGAATATTTAGATTCTTCCTCTTTTAAAAAAAAATCTCTTTCCCTGTCGTAGTTTCACTATTGTCATCAATTTGTGGAGTGTAACACAACTTTCTTGTCTTTGTCTTCCATCACCAACTAATCTTTCATTCAGTGGTCTCTGACCCAGTGTCCCTCAGTGTTATTGATTGCTGGCTTCAGTCCTGTACACAGATTGCTGGCTTCAACCTATTTTAAAATAGCAGGTGTAGGTGAAGAACTTCTGATATGTTTTGGTCTGCATTAAGAAGCAAATGATAGTAAAATGGAAGTTTGGGATTTCACACCATTTGGGATAGAAATCGGGTCAGCATGAACTGAACCTTAAAGGGTACAAGTTTGAGGATAAATAACTTAAATTGAAATGGAATATGCATAGGTAGAGAGGTATGGAGAAGGTGGGTAGTGATCAGTTTTTATTCAAACCTTTTTGAAATTCCTAGAAAGGTGTTCAATGGATCCTTTCAAAGTCAAATCTTATGGCATCCATAGAATTGTTAAATGCAGCCCAGTGATTGAAAGGATTTTATTTTGGAACACAGGCAGAAACATTTGGTATCGAGTTAGTAAAACATGTTTGATGTTCTCAGTGTATTAGAAATTGAAAATGTCCATTTCAGTACTGGTAGCAATATAGATTTCTTGAAGCTGAGTTCTGTAACCAATAGCAGTTAAATTTTATAGTGCTTGTCTTTTATAGGTTGAATTGCACTGTGTGCTTTATATGGTTTATTTGGCAACATGCTCTAATTAATGTAATTGCTTCCCTCTCCATGTAATAAATAAGGAAAAAAAGAGCAGAGTTCAGACCTGAAGTGGCTTAATTTACAGAATGAAAATGTTTAACTTAGCCACGTTTTGACTTATTTCACCACTTTGTTTTTCATACAGATGGACTTTTTGTGTTAAATATACTGTTCATTTAAGTATCCAGTTGCTCATTGACCTTTGCTTTCTGTTGGGACTGTGGCCGTCCACTGTAGATTTGCAGTTTGCTTTTCCTTCAGGACTGCAGTACTTTTTGTTTTCAAATTTGAACCTCTCTTCAATCTTTCCCTTTCCCACCTCATTGCAGATCTACCCAGCCAGGTACACTGCTATTAAATAGATTGAAATGAAATCTTTTCTCTTTCCGGAATGTGATTACAGAATTTAAAAATTCTAGAGGAAAGACGATTTGGAAAAAAACTGTGCAGTGACTTAACTGAATACGTAAATATATTTGTATATGGTATTAGACTTTTGAAGAAACAAAGGATTATACATGAATGGTTAATTGGTAACACTTGTACTTTTATCTTAGTTGTAGAGTGGTTAGATTTTTTTTCTTACGCTCCATATGTTTCGCCCACAAAATGTACAGTCCATTCACTTTACAGTATATTCTGTAAAGCACTTTGAGATGTTTCAACGACTTGATAAGGCGCTACATCAAATGCAAGGATTATTATTATTATTGTACTTGTTTTTCAGGCTAGGTGCCCAGCGTAACCTTTTTTTCTACGATTGGGGGGTTGTTAACAGCAACTAACAACAATCATCTTGTCTATTCTTGCAGCAACTGTTCTTATAAACTCTAAAATACTTGTTCTTGTGTGTTTTTGTTTTGGATCTAGACAAAGTGAATTCTTTGGAGCTGAGCTGCAGTATAGGTCCTGTTCTTGCAGTACTCCAACCTAACCAAGCTGTGGTGTTGGATTGCACCCTGGCGGCTGTTGATCAGCCTGCTAACATAACGTGGAAGAAAGAGGGCATTCCGACTGTGGATCAGGAGCAGCACTACATGCTTCCCAATGGATCACTTTACATTTCCCAAGTAGAATGGGATATGAGGAAAGCAAATGGGAGCAGTGAGGGGAGCTATACCTGTATGACCAAGAATTCATTTGGAGCCATAACCAGTAGGACTGCATTGGTCAAATTCTCCAGTAAGTGTTTTCAAGGTGATTTTATTAACTGTTTGAGTTTGACTAACATGTTCTTAATCTACTGTGTACTTACTTACAGCTTTAGAATCAATTTGTATCCAATTCAGTTCATGTGGGGGTTGGAACCTGCTGCTTTCTCTTATTAAATCTCAAATGATATGCAAAAACATTGTATTGTATGAAGAGACACACCAATTAACAGTTCACTCTTCAAACCTGAAGAGGGTTTCTATTCCCCAGGATTATCGTTGTTAAAATGTCCCTGTAATCTATGTGGTTGCAGTATAAGAATGTCCTTCAGTGCAGAAATCTAATGCTCCAGCACAACATCTATCTAAAGCTTGTAATTGACTTTGTGATGCAAGTGTAGATAAATTAAGCTTCATAATCTTTTGTTGTAATTTTCACGATTTATGGACAATGCTATCACTTCTACGATTTTAATGGAGTAATTCACTTTTAAAATGTGAATATCTTGTAGCCTATGTTTACAAAGTCAGTCCTCCTGTAGTTTTGTTTTATTCTATTTTGCAATTGCATTTAAAGGATGTTTCTGTTTTGACAGCCTTGTTACAATTTCATCAGCAGCCAGAGTCACAAATAGTAGCGGCGAATGGAATTGTTCGATTTGAGTGTGGAATTGATGGGCTCCCACTCCCAGTTATTACATGGGAGAAGAACCAGTCAGCTATTCCTGCTGACATGAGGTCAGTTGTTTGAATGAATACAGTGAATGTATGCACTGCAGTGGTCTAGAAATACAAAACTAAACACCGCCCCAGTCTTTCAAATTTTGGTACTTTTCTTGTCTACTATTGCAATCCCATCACATAATATTTTTAGAAACCATTACTGCACATAGAGGGTTTTCAGCCTTAGGAATTTGTTACAAGGGCTTTCAGGTGAGCACCTGGAAACTGCATAGAAGCTCAGCATTTGAAGAATATTTCATGTAATTTCCCTATGCTGAAAGTGGTGCCTCTCTTGTGGTTTCTCCTTGAGATTATAGCCATTGTGTGCGAGTAGCATTAGTCTGTTCTCAAGCGCTTCAAATGCTCAGTCATCTACAAGGAGGCATGCAAACTGATTGATTGAAGCGCTCCGTCCGATTCTTTTTCTCCCTCCATCTTTTCCTCTCCCCACCCCCACCCCAGAATGAAGAAAACCTAATGAAATATGCAGTCAGAATCCTTTGTAAGCAAGGAAACGCGTCTCTTAATGTTCATAAACAGCGAATGAGCAGTCTGATCAATCACTAGTGCCATTAAGAACACAACTAAAATATGTTGTTCCTATAATATTATAATGAAATTTAGTGTAGTGACTGAAAACCGGATGAAAATCATGTTCAGTTTCAAAAGACAAGCATAGGTGCTTTTTTAAAAATAAATAAGGCTAATATCAACACCAATTTTTCCCAGTTGTCTGCATTTGATAGGCACATGAATCCTGAGCATTGATTGTAGCACTCGTAACCTTACTGAAAATAGAGAAAATCCAGTGCTTTGCCTCTGGCTAGGTTTTTCTGTATTTACCTAAATTGATCTTGTGAACTCAGTATATTTAATTCATACTTTTCAGGAGCACATTCAAATAGAGCTTTAAACAAAATGATTTTTTTTGGAGGATTGGTGTTGGTAGGTAGCAGAGGAGGATATTGTAACATTTTAAATCCTTTAGCTTTTGTTTTAACCTTTGTAATAACCTACTTCGTTCTGCATTAGTTATCTTATGCCTCACATTTGGAGACTCAAATACAGCTGCAGGTGTTCTGCATTAACAATGAATGTTACATCTGCCAAAGTTCTTCAAAATATGTGGCCAGCTGGCTCATTCAGTAGATTGGGGAACAAATACGAAGTGAAAGCAGGTCATTGCATTGTGCATTAGGTTTTCCCTTATGCATTCACAGCAAGGAAGTTGGAAATTGCAAGAGGTGAAATCAGCTGACAAAAATATTCCAAGGTATTTGCTAACATGTATAAAAATGCCACATAGTCATTATTTTAGTTGTGTATGTCTTGTAAATTGCCAGCTGTCCAGCGGATAACTGATGCGTTTGCACTGATTGATGATGTTGGCTGTAGGTAGAGGCAGCTTAGCCAGAAGGGAAGAGGAGTGGGAAGGCTTGGGGCCAACATTGTTTGTGTAGCCCATGATTTTTGCTGCCACCGTAGTTATTTTATCACAGGAAAGCAAAGACAGATTTGGTACCACAAAATTTGGGTTTTCTTCAAGTCTTTGCATTGCACTATTTGAGCAGCAGACCTGAATCGTGCGTAATTTGGTTCCTGCCTCCCATAAATGGTGCATGATTTTCACTTTGCCAAAGTAGAAGGCCACATTATTTTTCTGGATTCAGATGCCAGGTGCCAATTACTAGTGCGTGCTGGCAGTGGTTGCAACCCAACACCGAGGAATATCAATCATGTATACCAGCTACTGAGATCACCAGCTAAAGTACATTTCTCATTCTTTATGTAAATATGCTTCCAATGAAGAAAACTAGAATAGCCTTAATTGTTCAATTTATCTGTAAATAAAGGAACATCTTGATCTCTATAGCACATCACTCCCAGCAATCAAAAACATTGGGTAGTTTGTTTGAGTAACAGTATTTTTTTCAATGGTCTTGTTGGTCAAAGCTGATTAATGTTAGTAAAACTCGATTGATGCAAATGCTTATACTTAGAAACTAGATTGTACTTTTATTCTTATGTGCTGGGTAATTTACACTGCTAAATTTCGGTCGCTTTCAGAGCATAAAGTTATTAGCTAAGTTGGATTTGCTTTCAGGTTCATTGTCCTCCCAAATGGAATTCTACAAATTGTAGATGTGCAAGAAAGTGATGCTGGGGTATATCGCTGTGTAGCAGCAAATGCAGTTGGGAATCTCTACAGCCAGGATGCTACTCTCACTATGATGGAAGGTAATGTAATACTTATAGAGGGATCTCATTTAAAACTTTGATTTTACGAGCATTCATTTCTCTTTTTTTAAAAAAAGCTTTCCTTCCCTCTCTACTTTCACATCCTGCCTCACCACCTTCCTATTTGGTTTTTGCCACCTCACCTCCAACCTCATGCTCCCACTTAGTCTCTGTAAAGTGCTTTGAGACTCTCCCAATAGGAAGGGTGATTTTAAGTATAAATTGTTGTTGAAGTCCACAAGTTAACTTTTGAATTTTCAAAACCATTAGTGACTTTTCAGATTTACATTATTGTATTCTATATAAATGTAGATATTTGTGTGAGGTTTATTCTTGAGTATTATTTTAAATGCTGGACTCTTTTTGCTAAACCACCTTGAACAGACAGTAGAACCAACATGTAATTGAATACAGTCTTAAAAATTGTCATTGATCAATACGTTACATTATCTGGATAATTTTGTGGACTCAGTTGGGAATAAAGCCAACATCTCTCTGCAGTAGATCTAATTATATCTTTTTAGGAAAGTTAGCTCAAAGGGAATGAACATAAAGAATAATATCTGTTGAGGCTAAGTTGGCAACGCGCTGGGATGGTTCAGAAAAGCACCAAATTTTGTAATTGTAATTACTCGGGAAACATTTTTAGGTGAACTATAGAGGTTTGATATAAAGATGCTAAATTACAACTATTGTTCAACGCAGGGAATGTTACAAATAATGCTGATATTGAATAAAAAAATCACTAAATCCTAAAACTATTTGAATTTATTCTTCAGAAAAATCTAGAATCAAAGTGGTAATGCTCATTAGAAGTCAGGTGAAGCTAAGCAGAAACTAGCAAGTACTGGTCATCTCTTTGGTTAACTGCCAAAAGTAAAAATAATGCAATCTTTAGAAAAATACAATGGTATGTGGAAAAAAGAGCAAGAAGATTTAGTAGCTTATTCGCCTATGCTTTGAATGGGAACAATATCTACTTAGTTTGGGAGTGGTTCTGCGATGATGCCAAGAATGGAATCAGCTTAATGGTCAGAGTACTTACCTCACGAGCGAGAGGACCTGGGTTTGATTCCCAGGCAGGGTGAAACGTTGGGCAAGTTTCCTTACTTCAAGTGCCTCTTCACCTAGGAGTAAGGAAAAACCTGGTTGTTAGTCGATTCATGGATCATTTATCAGGGGGTAATAATCCATTCAAAAGAAAAAAATGTAATAATTATTTAGTCACTCAATCCACGACTGTTTGTGGAACACTTCTGTGCACAATTGGCTGCTGCATTTTGCACACAAAATATACAGTTAATTCGCTTCCTTGAAGTGCTTTGCGACTTCTAGAAGACGTGATAAGGTGCTATATCAAATGCAAGGATTATTAGTAAGAATGATTATTTGTTGTGACTGATGCTTGGACACATTGCAGATTTAAGTATTTAGTTGATGCTTCAAAAGTACAGAGCAAATGTCAGTACTTAATGCAAGCAAGCAGTGCCTATGATAACAAGACAAGTTTAAGCATTTGGAGTGGTACTTGCACTGCCACAGTGTTTAAATATTTGCAAGTGATGCTTGTGATGATGCACAATAGCTTTAAGTGTTTGAGTGGTTTTCAAGGAGCGCAACACAGGTTTAGGTATTCAATAACCTTGCTTACTAGTCATTTGATTAATTTTGTTAATCTAATTCACTTTAGATTATAGAAAGCAAACCCTATTAAGAGAATTTTGCTTACAATTTTGTCATCTGACTGTCTTTTTTTAGGGGCTAAATCTGTACCTTCAGATGTGGTCATCGTTGCACAGCCAAAGAATGCAACTGTTGTAGCTGGACAGATAGCCATTATGGAGTGCATGGCGTATGCTGATCCGACACCCTTTGTTTCTTGGATTCGGCAAGGTGAGTTTGAATAAAACAATCTCTCAACGTGACATGAGTACCTTGGGAACCTACTTGAGGTACTACTGCACATAACTTTGCAATACAGAGGGACGTGGGAGACGATTTTGAATTGTTTTCTTCAAGTCTTCTGGCCAGAAGTTTGAAGACATAAAGCACAGGAAAAGGCGGGGACTTAATGGAACCAGTGAGTGTTAAGGAAAAATATATATTTTATATTGTTTAGGAATATGTGATCATTCTAATACAGTTAAATGTTCTTGTGTTTTAATTAATGTATGACAAAATGTAGATGTATGTGATCAAAACAGTAACTCTCGTGAAATAATGGACGAACGCAAGATGAAACTAGATAGTCACTTTGAAATATTCAGCAGTGAATGATAAATTATTTATAATATTGTGGTTCTCTTCTTCCAGGAGTACCAGAGCAATAGTGCTCTTGGAACCTCTAGTGGCAGAAAGTAGATATTGTAGATCTGAACAGATTTTCTTTTTTGCTTTGAATGGCGAAATTTGATTTTTGTCAGGTTCAGAAGTGAATTTGCCTCGAGCGAGAGAAATTTCCATCCATGTGGTTTGAACTCTCTGAAGGAGCTTGTTGATTAACTGTGAATCGGTAATGAAATTAACTGAATTTTAAATTGGTTGATTTTATCTGAGGTCTTTGACAATTTGAATTGTAGTACAGTACTTCCCACACCAATTTATGTGAGGTTGCTTGTGTCAACTACCTTGTTATCTTGATGTTCACTCTTCAGAAGTGCAGGTAACTAACATATTTAGGAGCATAAGAATGATTAGGAGCAGAAAAAGCCCATACATCCAAGTAATTCTCTCCCGCACTCATTAATCTCAGTTCACCAACCCACCTCCTCACAACAGCACTTCTATCTTCTTCTCTCAAAACTCCCCTCGTCCATTTGCTACAATGGCTTCTAGCTAACTTGTTCCACAGGTCTGTTCCATTTTCAAAGCAAGTCTAATATTCTTAATTGTTAACTTTTAGAGCACAGGAATAGCAAATATATTTTAAGTATGTTCATGGAAAATATTGGAGTCTGTTCTTTGTTGGAATGATTATGGTATTTTAATATATAGGGACTTTGCCCTCTCTTTCTGTCTATGTGAACAGATGGTAAACCTATTGCTACAGATGTCATAGTGGTTGGAAGGACAAACCTTATGATCACTCGGGCGCAACGGTACCACAGTGGAGTATACGTCTGCCGTGCCAACAAACCTCAGACACGGCAGTTTGCAACAGCTGCTGCTGAGCTACGAGTGTTGGGTATGTATTGTATATGTTTATAATAATTATCCTTTCATTTGATATGGCGCCTTATGAAGTCTTTGAGATGTATCAAAGCGCTTCACAGAATATACTGTGAAGTGAATTGACGGTATATTTTGTGGGCGGAACGCAGCAGCCATTTCGCACAGCAACGAACCACAAACAGTCGTGGACTGAGTGACCAAATTAGAGCTCAATGTTGGAATTTCTATTCCGCTGTACAATTTGAATTATACAACTATGAAAGCAACAGAAAATCTGTATTCTTGTATGTCTCAGTGGAGTGTTTTTCTTTATTTAAAGAAAGTTTATTTTTCAGATGGGCTATATCTGTGCTGGAAAAGAAAATAATGAAACCAATAAATATTCTAACTGAATGCTCCAGTAAGTGTTGACTGAAATCTGCAGTCATTGTCCTGTTGCAAAAGAAAGGCATCAAAATGTTATGTTCCAAAGTTTGCTTTAGGAAATGGTATATTTCTGCAGTTATGCTTCATAATTTTTTAAACTAACAATTTTAAGCATCAGTTTTGAATATTTAGGTTAGCTCTACCTGGGATATTCACGTTCGATTCCCCTTTCTCCATCAGCTCCACCTATGATCACGCAGTTTCCCGAGACAATCTCCCGGATTCGAGCTAGCACGGCCAGGTTTGTATGTAAAGCTGAAGGTGAACCCACCCCTTTAATTCACTGGCTAAAAAATGGAGAAGGCATCCAATCCAATGGACGTGTGAAAATCCAAAACAGCGGCAGTTTAGTGATCAATCAGATTGGACTACAAGATGCTGCTTACTACCAGTGTATTGCAGAGAACACTCTTGGAATGGCATGTGCTACAGCAAAGCTTTCCGTTACTGTTCGAGAGGGTTTGCCCAGTGCTCCTAAAAGTGTGACTGCTTTCCCTTTGTCCAGTACTGCGGTATTACTGTCCTGGGAGCGTCCAGAGTACAACAGTGAGAAGATTATTGGGTTTTCCCTTCATTATCAAAAAGCAGTGGGTAGGTGTTGAAAATCTGTCTTGTGTTTGGGTTGCTTTATCTCTTTGCACATGAAATATAGTAAATAGGATGGAGATAAATTTTCTGATAAACTTCCATCAATAACTGCATATTGGCTTTGGTCGTGGGGACAGGCAACCAGGCAGTGCTTCCAAAATATCTCTTGTAAATGATTTTAAAGGATGCTGATATGCATGCAAATTGCTGAAGTAAAGTGTAATCTTGTATGTGTTGAATTCAGTGTACTGTTCAATTTTTTTTAGATTGCCTTGGTAATTTTATTCTGCTCATGGTTTAACTCACAAGTCTGATGAGAATTTTTTTGTGCTGGTGGGTCGGGGAGAATGGGGAGTGCAAAAGTGATCAAGACTTAGAAGATTAGCTATATGGCCTCACCATTTCTGAACAGAATAATGTCCTAATTGGGACATTGAATAGACCAGGTATTCGCAGCACTGGTTCAGTTGTCAATTACTTGGATCAATTTATTTTTCAGGTACAAACAATGTTGAGTACCAGTTTGCAGTGAACAATGAAACCACGGAACTTCAAGTAAAAGATTTGCAACCAAACACCAATTACACTTTCTACGTTGTGGCCTACTCCCAACTTGGTGCCAGCAGGACCTCAGATTCTGTTGTAGTACAAACTGTGGAAGATGGTAAGGACATAGGATTTGTTTAGTCAACGTACGTAACTTCTGTGTATTTGTCAAATGTTCAAAATACGTGAATGATCAGCTTTTTGTAAAAAGAAATGTTTTGCTCGGGAGTATTACTGGGTCTAATAATACCACATTTTAAGTCAATACTTCAAGTCAAATTGATTTTGATTTCTTGTGTTTGTGGGTATTTGTATGTGTAAATGTTTTCCCTCACTGAAATTATTTTAATGCTTTATTTGCCTACAGTCCCAAGTACTGCTCCTCAGCTGTCTCTGTCAATCACTGCCCTTACTGACATTCATGTAACATGGCTTCCCCTTTCTCCAGAGCTGAGCCATGGGAAAGTAACAAAGTACCGCATTGATTACTGTACATTGAAAGCAGGTATGTTGAATCTGCATGTTAACAACAACAACTTGCATTTATATAGTGCCTTTCACATGGGGTAGCTTCTTGGAGCGCTAACAGTAGTGAAGCTTGACTTCAGATTTTTCCCAAATTTTGCTATGTATAAGTGTTCAAATTTATATTTATGTTAAAGAGAATGCTGATGTCTCTATCTTCCTTATGTTTCTCAACAGTGCCCTAACTTTTGAAATAATTTCTAATTTTTTTGAAAATGAACCTGGCCCTTTCTGTCAGATATGCAGCATCAATGCTGAATATCTTCTTGTGATCATTTTGATCTTTCAAGAAAATAGGAAAACCAGTAGCAACATTGTCCCTGACCCTTAGGTTCTGTTATTTTAGGGTGTATATTAGCAAAAGCAGATTGTACATGTTTTATGCTTTGCTTGTGCTCATAATTCCTGCTCCATACTGCTGGATTGATTTTTATATATACACAGTTTGAAATCTCTGTGCTTCTGGTCCTCTGTATACTTACAACTTTAGACACACTTGGGGGAGAAAAGGGGGTAAAGGTTCTTTGAATTAAATTTATATGAACTGTGTAGTTGTGGGTCGGAGTTGTTTCCAGCTGTGTACTACGCTGTTTATTATATTTTGAGTAGACATTGTTTTAGCTTGAAAGTTTGGGGGTCAATGATGGGAAGTACCAAATCAAGTTGGCAAAATACAGTATTATTTTTAGATTTCCTTTTGCTCTTAAGTCCTGCCTCTCACGCGCTAACCCACCACGTTGGTAAGCGGTCACGGGCAGTATGCTCCCGGGTCCTGGCAGCTGCACGCTCTGTGACTCTCCACCAGGTGGTGATGTGAGCATTCTTGAATTGACTTGTCTGCTAATTGTTCATTCTTCAGGTGGTTCATTGAGAAGTTGATGTGTGAAGAATTCCGATGTGTCAAACGTTCAAATTCCTGTCAATATTATCAAAAATCTGAACCTGAAGTTCAACTCAACAGACAGGAAGCTTAATTTGGGACATGTTTGGCGTTCAGTTCAAACTTTTAGAACACAGACTAGAAGCTGGGCTGGCTGAATATATGTATGCAAAGTAGTTTTATTTTGTATTTTTTTTCCTATTCTTGAACGTGCTATAAATTGATTGTAATTTAGATTCTTTCAGTCACAGAATGCTGAGACCCACTTCTTCTTTGTAAACAGATCAAGTTTATTCAATCGAAGTTGCTGGAAATGAGACGCAAGTCACTCTTCCCCCTGTGCAATCAAAGAAAATTTACAAAGTACGGATTACAGCGGGCACAACTGTGGGGTATGGTGTACCATCAGAATGGACCCAGCACCTAACACCTGACAGAACTAAGCTAATAATGGGTAGGAATAATCTCATTAAATCAGCACATTCCCGAATGAGCAGGTTTGCAAGTTATTTCTCAATGCATTGCAAAATGTGAATTTTTTTTAGCTAATGTTGTAGATGTTATGCATTTTCTGTTGTTAATGTGCGTTAATCAAATGTATTCAATTATACACTATAAATCTTGTACTTTGTTGGTTGTCACTAGAGACGTTCCTTCCTCTCTTCCCCCCACCCGCCCCCTTGTGTTTTAAATGAATTACATACAAACAGAAATTAAGGAGTTTAACAGATAATATTCTTGTCACACTTGGTTGGCAATGAATCTTGAATGAACGCTAAGGATAAGTTTAAACAATACATTTCTTAGATTTAGCTGCAAACATTCATGTCATGAATTATATTCTAATTTTCTATTTTTCTTGCAACAAAGACCCTCGGTGCTTTTCATTAGTCTTTCCACAGTAATGTTTTAGAGTGCTCTGACATTTGCATATGATAGAGAACTGGATCCTGAGGCACATCACTGTATCCTGCTGGGAGAGCAGTGTGTTGTAAAAATAGGAATTGTTCTAATTAACTAGCTAGTTCAATCCTGAAGTTGGGGAAAACCCATTGTCATCTACAACCCAGATTCTAGAACAGACCATCCATTCGTAGATGGAAAAATGAAATGAAAGATAGATGTTTTTGTCAGCTAGCTCCCAAAATAGATTTTTCTGAATTTTTTTAATCTATTTGTCTGTTACTAAAATAGATCTGAATGTTTGTTGTGTGGTAGTGAGTTCACTACTAATGAAACTGGTATCAAAATTGTGGAACCTACGTAGGAGGAGTGAACTTCACCCGAGGTGCATCATCACAAGTGCAAAAGTGAAGCATTAAAACAATTTGCAGCTAGCATCGGGGATCTCACCAAAGTTTACCACAGTGTCTTTTTAAAAGGAATTTTGAAATGTAGCTTCAAAGGTTTAAAACATTGTCCCATTCCTTCTAATTACAGTTATCACTTTTAAATGTTTCGGATAATGACCTGTTCTGCTTTGTTCCAGTTCCATTTGCTCCCACTGAAATGAAGGTCAAGGCAAAAGTAGACTCTTTGCTGGTCACTTGGCAAGCACCCTCTAATCCAGTCCAGATCCAGGGTTACAAGCTTCACTACAGAGAAGCAGATGTGGAAGATTCAGATAAAGAAGGGTTAAATGACACTAATGGAGATGAACACTGGACAAAAGGACCTATACGCCTTAGAAGAAAAGTAAAACAATATGAGATTACAGGGTTAGGTTAGTGAAACTAAGATACTTATTGTTAGCTAGGCCCAAATGTTCTGTTTCAAAGCAACATTATCTTGTTGAACTGTATAATTTATTAACAAATTGTGCAATGTCAGATAGAAGTGCATTCTGTGCGATTGAAGCATTGGATGTGGCCAATTCACATTCGATCATGATGGGTTCCTTGCATCAGTGTTTGACGCTCCTGTATATGGTGTTGACAGAATTGTTTTTTCTATTTATAATGATAGATTCAAATCATGTTTACAGTAGTTTTCTGAAGCCATGATATCAATGAGTTAAACTAGTGGACTTCATTCCAAAATAGAACTAAGTAGGAAATGCCAAAGTATATGCTTGTAATGGACCAATCTGTCACTCAATATCTGTATCAAAGAGACTTTTACTTTGTGTTACAGCCGAAGGTAGACTTAATGGTTTGTGCTCAATATGCTTGTGTGGCACACTGTTCAGTACTCTGACTGATTTAAAGAAATAGTAAAATAATCAATGCGTAATTTGAGTCGTATGCTGTTCAAACCCATTGCTGAGGTTTGGGGTAATTTCAGTTCTTCAATGCTTTTCAGAATATTTACTGATGATTTGTAAAATCTTAGTTTCTAATCTTCACATCGGCAGGACTTGAATGAATGCTGTGAGAATTTGATATTGCTATTGAACAAATTGATGGAGAGAGCATTTGCTTTTCTATATTTCTGTGCTCTCATACATTGCCTGAAAGAGTCTGCATGCTTCACCTTTTGAAGTGCTGCCATGCTCCTCGGAGGGTTAATGATGTAAGCAAACTGTGTAATTATTATTATTTGAATTGAGATTACTTTCCTAATTGTAATATGAAACCATTGAGCTGGAATATACTGCAGCTCGCATAAGTAATTATATCACATGAATGTTAAGTGTTCTAACAATGCATGTGCTCCTGCTTCAGTGCACTTGAATAGATCTTTATTGGCTCTAGAGAGCACAAATAAATGTTATCCAACCTGCTGTGATCAGAGCACAGTACCTGGGATGTGTGACTGCAACAAAAATACAACTGTACTTCATAAGTTTAATACTGTATTCAGCAATGAAATGCAAATTATATATTCTGGGCTCTAGAATGCAAATCCTTATTGATGCCTATTTAGTATCTGTAGCAAGATGTGCAATTTCTACTTGCGCTATTGAAGCAACAATAATTCTACTCTGTACTACAACACTGGATGAATGAAGACAGAATTATTATCATAAATGAATAGAGATAATCCTAATTATCCTACTCCATGAAATTGCCACAGCAATTCATAAAATCATTCCAACTGTGCTTTGGAAGGACTTGGACCAGAAACCATTTACTCACGGGCAAAACTATTGTTTTTCAGAGAACAATATTGAGATTTTTTAATCTTTTAAACCATGTCTGCATGATCTTTTGAACCCTGACTTGCTCAGAACAAAACCTCAGCATGCAGTTTAGGAACTGATTGGAGGACTTGCCATCATTAAATCGTGTACTCGAGATACCCTGATGTGGTTTGGCCTGTTCCTGTATGTTTGAAAGAAGAATTTTTCTGTTGCATTAAATAACTTTGTTTTGCTGAAGAAATGTCCTCGTTTGTCTCAAAATTACAGCAAAATAATTTATCTGTTTCTTTATGCAGTGTCTGACAAATTATATGAAGTAAAATTGATTGCCTTCAACAAACAAGATGATGGCTATGCAGTGGTATGGAAAGGAAAAACTGAAAAAGCACCTGCCCTAACCATAGGTAAATGACACAATTGAGAGAGCTTCAAAGCTACGCTTTAGGGAATTCAAATAAACTAAAACATGATCGTGAATCCTAGTCACAGCTAAAATACTTGACACTTTATAATAATAATCCTGTATTTGATACGGTGCCTTATGACATCTTCGAGACATTTCAAAGCACTTCACAGAATATACTGCAAAATGAATTGACTGTTTTATTATTGCTGTAGGATGAGAATGTCACGTAAGAGTTATTCAATTTATTTAAAAGTATTTGTGGATCAACCACTGGCACTTACACTAGTTATACAAACTAATTGAATAGTGAACTGACTAAAGAAAATCATGGAAATGTATAAATATGAATTATATCTGTCTCTTTTTCCAGATCCCCCAGTAATGCTGCCACCTCCAACCCAATTACAAGCAAAATCCAATCACTCCCGAGCAATCTGGTTACGCTGGACTCGACCTCCCTTTACCACAGCCTGGATTATGAATTACACTGTGCGTTGCAGTCCTTGGGGATTGAAAAATGCTTCTCTGGTGACTTACTTCACAAGGTGAGATTGTGCAACTAATTAGCTTGTATAGAAAACGGTGACCTTTTTTACGGCTTTGGATTTGCAGGACTCTGAAGTGGCACAGGGTTTGCTTAAGCCGTACCTCTTCACCCATTTCTAAGGTGAAGTGTCGAAGCATAACCTGTGTATTCTAGAAGATGCAGAGCTTTTCTTTTGCTTAAATTCAGCAGTGATTCAATCAGAATACTAGGCTAATATCACTGGCTGGTGGTCATGTTGCTAGTGATCTGGTGACCTGGAAATTGGCCATTTTTGACGCAGAAATGTAAATACAGCAGTTGTAGAGAGAGTGTAGGCTTGATTTATACCTGGCCACTTCAGTTTTGACCAATGATGCTCTGGAACACTACCCAGCATGAGGGGCACTATATAAATGTAAGCTGCTATTGTAGATAGTGTGACAAATTTCACAGAATTTTCAAGATTCTAAAGCATGGCTGAATTATTGCAAAAGCAAAGGTGCAATAACCTCATGTTTGACATCTCTGTTTAGGTTTATGTTTAGAATATAAACACCACCTGAGTTTGCCTGCTTTTGTTCCAGCTCTGAAGAAGAAATTTTCATCAGCAACTTGAAACCATACACTAGATATGAGTTTGCAGTGCAGTCAAATGGAATTAGTATTGATGGACCATTTAGTGGCATTGTGGAGGAATCTACTTTGCCTGATAGTGAGTACCAAGCTTTTTTTGTAAAATGGATATTGCCTTATTGTCTCCCATAATTGAGAAGTTCTTTTACATGATTAATGCTGTATAAATGTAAATTGCCATCGCCATTGGTAATGGTATGGTCACCTCCAGTGTAGTGATGAGAACAACAAAGAAATAAAATTTATATAGTATCCCTTGCATCAGGAGGACGTCTCAAGGTGCTGGACAGTCAAGGGTTTACACCCAAGATGGGTACTGGATTTGGGAGGGGCAGGAGTCTGTGTTTTCATAGGCAAAATATTCTTTTGATCTCTCCTGCCCTCTTTCTCTCTGCCCCCCCCACCCCCGCTTTCTTGCATTCCTTTTCATTCTCTGGCTCAGTAGTTGACTTTCTCCCAGACCTCAATGTTGCTCTGTAGCCAGCTATTGCAAGACTCATGAGAACAGCTCACAGTAATTCATCCTCTAATCAGATTATTCTTGTCTTCCCTGTGCTTTCACTAACAGCCCATCTGAGATTAGATATAAATCTTTCTTACTGCTCAGTGGAACAATACATTGAAACGCCAATGTGATGTACCACCAAACTGCCATTAGTTTTTTTTATTATCATTCATATGCCAGGCACAAGAAATCCGTCAGGAATCCTAATGGATGCCTGTCATTTTATGCAATTATAATCAACTGTGATGTGAACATTCATTTCTCAGCAATTCCATTTTTCTTTTCAGAACCTTCCACTCCTCCATCAGACATTAAATTGAATCCGATTACCACATACTCAGTAAGAGTTCAATGGCAGCTTCCAACCGAGCCAAATGGCATCATAGTTGAATATGTTATTCTATATAACACAAACCGAACACAACCTGATGATTTGTGGAGTTCACTGTCTAAGGAAGGTACGTTAGGATCATAGATCAAACTGACTGATTGAATCCTTATTATGAATCACCAGTACACAGCCAATGTTATATGGAAGATCCGGTCTGGTGAGCCGGAATTAACCCCTGAGTGTAATTACAATGCCGGTACTGGCATTTGTCAGCTTTTTTCGCCACTTGCTTTTTTCAGTGGCTGACAAATGCTGGTAAATATAAAGGGATAAGGCAAAAGGATTGTAGAACATTTAGTTTACATGCATCTATGAATGATGCATGTGTCTTCTCTCCATGTAAAGGATCATGACCTTCGTCAAAGAGCATGATCAAAGAGACATCCCAGGATATTGACTGCAATCTAACAGACCTCCTTCTGGGATGTTGACCAGTTGAGATGAAAGTGACTTGAATGATCATTTGTGTTTGTGGTATTCAGGGCACATCTTCAGCACCGAAGTGCTAGGACTGCAGAGTGGTACTCGCTACTTCGTTAAGATGGGAGCAAAGACCATTGTAGGAACCGGACCATATTCTGTGGCAAAAGACGTGCAGACCCTACCTGAGCGACCATTAGGTGATTTTTTTTGATTGCCAGATTCTATACCACATTTACATGAGATTTAAAACACAACTATAAAATATCAATTGATGTTATTAAACAAGCATTCAATATTAAATATATGGCATAAGTCACAGATTTACTGTGTTATGGTAGAAATTAAGCTGCATATATACTTGAACTGTTCCATTTAACCCAATGGAGCTGGCATTTTAGATTAATGTGGGAGCCAATCTGGAACAATTATAGCATTCTTAACTACGTGTGTAGCTAGTGGGAAAGTGTTTTTCCAGTATCTGGTTACAATCAAACAGCTCCCAGATTGCTCTTAAGTCCTGGTATCTATTATAGGGAATGGAACCACTGTGGAATAGCTCCTTGGACCATTAATGTACATCATCCAAGTAGGCATCCAGAGTGTCAGACACTAGGTGCTTACAAAACAATTTTCTTTCTTGTCCGAAGAGAAGTAATGATGTATCAACAGGAGCTTAATAGGATTTAGTGACTATTTTCAAGGGGAACATGGCAACCTATTTGTGCATGACATTTTCCCCACACACGGTCATGAAGTGAATGACGAATTATATCTGGGGATCATTGACCAAGTAACTGGGAGAAATAACTTTGTATCAGCAAACATTGTACTAAATTACAGAAGCGACCAATTAGTAACTTGTTGTTTCTGATATCAGGACTACATGATCTTCTGGATGTACATTCTGTGACTGGCATCATTGTGGGTGTTTGCCTAGGGTTGCTCTGTATTCTCTTCTGCATTTGTGCCAGTTTCTGCAACAATAAGTGGAGGTAAGGGGATCAATCCAGAATCATGAATTTCTATTGTGTTATTAGTACATTTTGAAGAGTCATTCTATAGTAATGTGTTTGAATACAATCTTTAGTGTGTTTTGGATAAGCTATTTGATAGACTATTATATAGGTGCAGAAGGTTAAATACTTTTTAATTTTGAAGAATGTGAAATGGCAGACAATCGTTTTTCATTTGAAAGGAATCTTGTGCTCATCAAGATGAGGGATGTCAGTGCTGGGAAATGGAAAGGAATGATCACTTGCTTTCTGCACCCGAGTCAGTATTAAGCATTCACAAGTCGGGAGTCATTCAGTTTTGGTACTTTCTCTGCTCTTCCAACAATACACCTCAGAATAACATCTCTTGCTGTACTGCATTTCTCAATTTCTTGCATTTGCTATGTTTGCACCTTCTAAATAACAATAGTTTAAAAAGAGTAGTGATGGTGAACTTTTCACAACTTAAGACTGTCCCAATTAGAACCCTTATGAGTACCAAACCGCATATTTTTATTCATCAGTCTGGTTGGCTTTGACCCCATGTACTCGAGGTAAAAGAGAGCTTTGTAAGCTACTTTATTTTGTTTTTCTGAAACTGAGACTCGCTGAAAGCAGTTACATTTGATTAGAATGTGCAAAGCTAATTATATATATATATATTTGTGTCAGAGAGAAGACTGCTCTGGGCACAAATGTTAATAAATAACCCTGCTGAAATGACTTTCATTATTCTGCTGATACAAACGTAGTAAAGCATTAATGATGGGGTTTCTCCTTAAAATGGCTAATAATCTTTCTTTTCAATGACAGAGAAAGCAATTCAGGCCCCGATTCCCACCTGACTACTGGTCATTCTCACTACCGTAGGGCAAGAAAAGCGTCTCCTACTCCCAATATTTCACTTCCCCATGCCCATGAGCTTGAAACGCTAATGTCCACTCCAACTGAAGATGTCTCCTTGCCACTTGCTGAAATAACTGAGCTTACTGAGGTGCAAACTCTCATGAATACCAACCTTCCAGATGGTGATGTTCAGGTGAAACCAAAGGTATTTTATTGCTTATTTGATCTTCTCAATCTTTTATTTATGTGACAGGACATGGGCTTGTGTGGGATCCAATTGGGGCAGTGGATAGTGTTGTCAGTGATACAACCAGGTTGTGTGCATTTTAAAATCATCCTTGCTTTTGATATAGTGCCTTATGTCAATATCTCACCCAAAGTGTTTTCTGTAAAATATAGTGATTGGGTAATTGTAGGTGATCTTGATTTATAGGTATCTTAAAGGAGGATTATTACATGAATTATTTTATTTTCCACTTTACTGTATATCCTGTGAAGCACTTTGAGACGTTTTGAAGATGTGATAAGGTGCTGTATCAAATGCAAGGATTATTATTATATTATTACTTGTACTTATTTTATCAGGTTATCCACAAATTAGTAGAAGGAAACAGAGGTAAACACTGGGAGAACCAAGAGACTAGTATCATTAATATACTTTTAATATTTCAATGTAAGACCTCTTTCATCTTGTCTGTTACTGAGATGTCAATTCTCCATCGGTCCCTAATTGGCACATCCTATTTGGCACTGATGCTTTATTAGTACAGAAAAGCACAGTGAATCCTTCTCATGATGCTGACGAGAATGCCCATATATCTGTCAGCATGTTCCTTGATAAAGTGCTGGCACTACCTCATCTATTAAGTACACAAGAACAACTCGTGTCAACAGGTTTCACACGTGAGCATCGAACTAAAACTAATATATTAACCAGTTCATTGATCAACTGTTGGTAATCACATTAGCTGTTACTTCTATTAATGAAAACTCCACAGTTGTCACAAAGGCTATCCATAGATAAGTGGAAGTGTATTTGCTAGTGGTGATATCTCCGAGTGTAAATATTGATCAAATAGTGCTTTCCAATCTTGCATTGCACCTATCTCATATTTGGTCTTATTTCTGAAAACAAATTTGTCTTGAGAAGGGGAGGAGGTGATCTCCTATATATTACTTAAGGCCTAAATTAATTCCTGAGATCAGGGAAAGTAGGGGAACTAGGCTGAAATAATAGGCACATTCAGACTGGAGTAACGCACTTTTTCATCTGTTCAGAGGGTTTCAAGATTAAGGTGATGCTAAGGATCAACTTGCAATTCTTTGGTGAATACTAAATAGTACATGATTTTACTGTTAACTTTGTCATTTGTGTTTGAATTCAAAACTTAAAGCTCACCTGATGGCCTGGTGGCTAAATAGTCCCAATACGCTTTTCACCTCATGAGAAGTGAGACTATTTGGGGAGAGCTGTACATTGAAACTGAAATAATGTCATTCCAAACACCTGGTGAAGTTGTGTCAACATTTAGTGCCCTACATCATTCAGCTTAATGTTTAAACATCATTATGCTCTAGTTAAAAAGAGCTGGCACTAGCTGGAGATGGGGGTCAAAAATACACCTGGACTGTTCATTTTGTAATCTAATTTCAAATGTGTTTTTTTTCTTCTGCTTCCTCAAAAGCCTGCTTGGAATGGGTCAGTTCATCACCAGTGGACAAATAATTCAATTGGCTATAACAATGGAATCATCGCAGATTCACCTTGCATAATGAATGGAACATTGAAGCTTAAATCTGAAACCAGTAAAGATCACCCTCAAGCAAACTTTGATTTTGGCAGTACTAAGGTACTTTATTTATTATCTGTAATACACAGATTTCTAGTCTATGTGCACACAGGAATTTCAGCTTGTGGTTTTAAATGATTTAAGGTGAGAATGAAGTTGGGGGACTTGTTAATCAGAACATGCAGTTCATACAGTCTAGTGAAATGCCTTTCCTTCGTGTTTTCTAGCTCCAGAAGATTTTTTACTTTCCAATTTTGTACTCTTCTGAAGATAATAAGGCATTTTGGAATAAAATTCAATGGGCCCCAGCAATCCTGCCTTACCTTATAATAACCATTCTTCATGCATGACTGGGCAGAAAATGTCAGCAGTCTATTCAACCCCTGGGAGGCATTACGGTCAATTCTATTCCTGTCCTTGCTTGATATTTAGTCATAAACTTTGTTTTAAAAAGAGCTTTTTCCAGCAAGAGTTCCTGGATAATGGTTAGCAGTGATCTAGACAGATTTTCCCCTCTATCCAAAGGACTCTTCAAACCAGTATTAGCACCTACCTGAGATCCACTAACTCAGGACAGACAATGCATGAAACCTGAGACTTTCCTGATCTTTGTAGTTCAATACTAAATCATGTGGTACGTTTCTCCACTCAGGCATCAGCAAAAGAGAGGTGTAATTGCTCTTATAGCTCATTAAGGACTTCCCCAGTTTAAAACCAGTGAAAAGTCTGTTGTTGCCCCTGCTCTCATGCTCTGCTTTGGTGTCTTGAAGCTGCAAATGTGCTTTGTAATTGAAGTGTGGTTAGCTGTCCTCCACCCACCCAAACTGTGGTCCAGTTTTGCTTTCATGGTACATTCAGGATACCATTATTTCAATTGCCATAGATAAAGAAATCTAGAAAATGTAAGTGGAGCTATCTTGTCATCCAAAAGAATTCTGATGTAGTGTGCAAATGTAATGTTATCCTGCCTTTTAGATATTGATTGACCTGCTGTGTGACTACCACATTTTCTGTTTTTACTCGTGTTATTTTTGTGATCCCCACTATCCCCAACTTAAAGGTTGAATACGACACGTTTTTGTAATCTTTGTTGATTTTGCCCACAAAATATAGTCAATTCATTTTACAGTATATTTTGGGAAGCGCTTTGACACATCTGAAAGATGTGATAAGGCGCTATATCAATTGCAAATATTATTATATATTTTGACAAATTTGTTGATTGGAAAACCATGGATAGTTTGAACCTTTTCTACTGTTAATACAAACAAAAGAGACTGTATAGATGTATGGATCATATCTGTTTATAAGAAGCAGAGAGAATCTGGGGAGAAAAATTAATAGGAACATAAAATTATCTTAATTGTACTGTATATATTGTGTTTAGAGAAATAAGCATTTATAACTCACTTAAGAGAATTTTAGAAAATTTGCATAGGCCTTTCTATGGAGACTGGCATCTGCTATCCAGCAGTGGTAATAGGGTGAAGACTCTGCTACAGAAATCAATGCTGAACAGGATGTAATTAGCATCATGGAGAATACTGGGAGCATTCACTTCAAAATCCAATTAGTCTGACAATCTGATTTTGGATTAATGACCCTGGAGATTAAACATTGGGAAATGTGTTAAAACCAGAACACGCTGGATATTTATTGCAGCCCAGCCCATAGATACTTGTGTTAAATAGAGCACAGAAGATATTGGTATAAATACTCAATTTACTGCAATGTCTCCAACCTTCCTTTAAGTCACCATAGACTCCACTTCTTCAGCTACTTGTGACCACTCTTTAAGTAGGAAAAACTGAGTATTTTAATGTATAAAACATTTCATTGGTGATATCGTCTGACTAATTTTCAATTTGGGGGGGGACATGGGAATAATTGCCTTTTTTGTTGCCCTTGAAATGCAAAATTCCTGTGCTTTAAACTGACATGTTACTTTTAAACGAACTGGATGATTATTCAAGTGATCTATATCCCGTAGAAATCAAATTAGCCTTATCTTATTGATAGTAATTTACAAGTGAACCATGTTACCCATTAAGGCTTTCATTGTGGGCATCACAAAAATCTGAATAATAAACTTTGTATTAATTCCCTAACAGGCTGTGACAAAGAAGGAAAACACTTTGGGTTTAAATCAAGTAGAAGCCGAAGTTATTGTTCATTCTGAAGCATCAGAAAAAAACTCTACTTGTGAGGATAAAGATGATCTTCAGAGTGAATGTGTTACTACTTTATCCACGGAGGATCTTCAGAGTGAGGATATCCTCAGTTCACCTGGTGAGGATTCAGAGAGTAAGGGGGAGCTCCCGAATGAGTGCATTACTGCTCTACCAGTGGAAGATTTGAAAGATCCTCAGAGCAAGTGTTTCCCACCATTACATGATGAAGAGAGTCACCCTGCTGATATATTTCAGAATTCACTGTCCTCTATTACTAATGAAGTGACCAGTTGTAATGATACAGAAAGATGCAAGGAAATTACTGACCCACAGACTAACTCCCTGTCACCTAAGGGTAATGAAATGAAGACACCTGAAGCCCATTGGCTTACCAATGGCTTTCAAGGCAGCAATGATCAGCAAAGCTCACATAGTGGGTTTGATTCAGAAAGCAGAAACTTGCAATTATCAGATGTAAACAGTGCAGGTATTTTCTCTGCCAAGTGCCACCCTTTGTTAATAGACAATGAAGTTCCTGCCCAGCATTTCAATGCTTCTGATGTCAGTACTACCTCAGCATCTGAGAAAGACTTGTGTCCATGATCCACGTGAACACACTTAGATTCTCAAATACTGAGGTGAAGCTTGCAATTACACACTCTGCGAGTGCCTGTTACTACGACTACCACAGATCCCTTTACAGCTACTGGGTCACATATTGAGCCTGAGCCCTGTTACCAGGTTTCTGTGCCTAATGTTTTAGGTGCATGCTCCTCTGTGATGGAACAGTGTCTTTATTTTTGGGAGGGCTTATTTAATTTTATAAAGTAAGACGGATGTGATTTAGAATAGCGTTTATAGTGCTGTACTTTCATGTTTCTCCGAAACAACAGAACTACCTCATACATGTCTCTTTAAAATATTGAGTAGAGTTAGCTTTTATGCTGCATTAGTTTTGAAGCTTGTTTTACAGCTATTTGTATTTGGTATATTTGCACAGGTTTTGAAATGACCTTTTTTCTGTTCCATTTGAAAGATGTATAGTTGTAAACAACCAACAGTGTTGAAACGCATATATAAATATATATATATTATATATAATATCTATATTATATAATATAAACTGAATAGGATAGAAGTATCTACACCTTTTCAATCATGCCTTGCTCTTTCTGCCAAGTTCTACACAAATTTGGAGTAATTGGACCCCCCCCACTCACTCTCCTACCCCCATATTTTAGAATTTCATCAATAACAATATTAATGATGCTGCATAACATTCAGAAATGTATTTAAATGTACGTGTAACAAATATAAATATGATAAGCATTTTTAAATAGTGTTACATTGTAAGAATTAAGTGTGCTTTTAACTTCGGCAGATAAGCAAGTTGGATTGAAAATGTGTTCATGTCATGGACTACATTATATTCAATGAGTCCCTTTATAATTTGACTTGCATTTTACAGGAAGTCTCATAGACTGCTAATATACTTTGGATGTTACAGGTAGAAATCTAAGCTTTAGCCTTACTTTGAACACACAGGTACGTTACCTACAAACTGAAGTTTAGGCCTTACACAGAACCTACCACCATCCCCTTATTTAAACACTGATATTTAGGCCTTACTCAGAACCCACTGCCACTACCTTTTCTGCAATCGAATGTTATTTTCAAACTCTGTAGAAACCAATGTTATTGCAGTGTCTGCAACGTTCACTTACCTTTACAATTTTGGGAATAACTGGCAGATGACAGCGTATGAAGAATATTTCAATAATTTGCAGAAATGCGTCAGCAACTCTTACCTTATTTGCCCACTGGTTCCATATGCATGTACAATTGTTATAAGATTACCAAATGAAACCATTTTTGAGTTAAATTTTGAAAAATGTTCCCATTGCTCACTGATTCTGCTAAATTGTTTTGCATATCACGTCATAAGGTGTCCTTTAGTTGATACATGTGTACAAGATTCATTTTTTCACACAAAAGTTCATTATTCCTTGGATTTCATTTTCTTCGGTTGCATTATAGTTTAAGCTTTTAGTTCCTTAATTTATTTTATTTATTTACTTAACTGTATTTTGATCATGCACAATATAATTGTAGAAAACCTTATGTACGTTTGAGAGTTGGTTTAGATGCCTTGTTCTGTCAATTGGAGAGCTCATCTACAAGACAGATTTAGATCCCACTATCAGTTCATGTGGCCCATAAACAGGCTAGAATTAATACTTGCTTGATTGGCACTACAAAACTTACATTCGCAGATATAGATTATCCAACAAATCTGATTTGCTATTTCAGTAAGGTCCCAGCTAGTTTGATTGTATTCGAATGACAAGGGTTCTATTTCAGAGGTCATCCAGAAAGTGCCAGCCTCCTGCAAACTCCAGTTGTGTAACTCCAAATAGAAGGTTGATGAGTGAGTCATATTGAATAATGGTTAATAATTTGACACTGAAACAGTTCTGCAGTTATTTCAATAACTTGGGGAGATGTGTGAAATAACATGATGTTTTAACCGATGGGCGGTGAAATTCTTCCCATTGCTAAGTGTAGTGACCATGCTGGTGTGACTTTACAATATGCATACATTGTCAACGTTTACATTTAGCAGCAAGAGGAATGCTGGACATCAATTAAAACTACACCTAAAATAAAATTAACATTTCAGTCTGCGGATGAAGTGGGGGCGGAAATCAACATCAGCGCCTAACTTTCAGATAAAAACTGTTTGAAACAAACTACTTTTAAGGTAATTGTTATACTTGTATTAATTTTGTGAATATTTTTCCGTGATAACTGGTGGTATGATTAGAAGCATTGGCTTTGAAGAGTTGCTGAGCCCAGCTGTGTGAGGTAGCTTGAATTCATTTCAGTAGTTACAATATAATCATTCACTCAAAAGGGGTGCATCAGAGATCAAGTGTACTGTACATGTTACTTTAGGGCTCATACACACTCAAGCTCTCAATCTTCTAAACAGGGTCTCCCTTTCCAGGTGACTCCAGCACTGAGGTCTTAATACAAAATATTCACAAAATAATAGGAGTTGATAGGAAAATCGAGAAAAGAAAAATAATTGTTTTGTAATTAAATTCAAAATGGTACTATTATTGAAAGTCTCTTGTTAAGGGAACAGAATTATAAAAGTATTGCCATGTATCACATTTTAAGATGTCATTGCAAAATACTTAAGCACTGCACACTCCAGGAGCTGTTATGTTGACTGCTTATTTCCTACAATTAGTTTTATAAAACTGAAAGCAGTTTTGGAACAAACAGATTGAATATTTTAAATTATGTGAGAATGCCACTGAAACATAACCATCAGTGTCCATTGTCCATTCTTGCTGCTGTGGTTATACAAGTTGGTCCTCCGACTGACGTATTAACTTAATTCTCAAGTGAATAGTATACAAAGTGATTTTTTTAAACAAAAAGAACAGGCAAGTTTGCAATTATGGTATCAATGAAAAGCTAGACACGGTTCTGCTCAAAATATCTTTTTGTAACCTTTTACCCACTGAAGTGCTTTCTGGGAATACTGAAACGATTGCACACTGCTTAAGGACCTATACAACATTCTGATACTCTGTTAATATTTAACACCTCAGCTTGTGATCAGTGAAATTGTGTTAAATTGTGCTCTTTGCTTAAAAAAAATTGCTCTTGTACAGTGAGGTAAGACAACCAAAAATGTCCCATTTGTTTTCAGAATGTATTGTTCATCTTTACCGCGTTCTAATGCTTAGTGCGGTACTTGGTATTCACAGCATCTTGAATATGCATATGTAAGATTTGGAAATCTTCCATTTAAAACAAAATGTGAATAACATTGTAGATTGTAACATGTTGCCTCGTGCAATTTGTGTTCTTTGCCTTTCTCTCTGCCTACTTGTGACCTGTAGAAATACTGTAACTGATGTGTTACCTATATAAGAATGTTGCATTACAATGAACGATAACAAATTTCAAAGATTTATTTTGTAGGTTTGGTTTATTGTACCATTGTTGCTCTACAGTTGTATCCCATTAATTGCTGCTGTGATGATCAAGATCTCAAATCTTATTTATCAGCTTTAATTTGCAAATTACTAAACCCTATAATGAGTACTAATAGTCGATGTGATTATTTGTTTTTTAATTTTTTTTGCAAACTTTAGAATAATTTGTGTAAACTAGTCTAATTGACTTTAGCGAGAACCTGGAGTTCTATTTGGATAATTTAGTTTTATTTCAAGGTTAAGAAAATTGTATTATCTTCCAATACTGTTGCAAATAATGTAATACATTGTATGTTGTGACAGTTACAGCTGTATGTGAAATTTCTCCGGATTGTAACATTTACGATTTAGCCGGCATCAGTATCTTCAAGAGTTCCTAACGTTCTATTGTTAACTCAAAGGCCATCATGTATGTTGTCTTTCCATTTCTCTGCATAACTATCAAACTGCCGTTGTAGCCAGTAATCTGCATAGTTTTAAGTGAATCTAGAGCCACATGGAAGATTCTGTAATATCATTCTGTTCACATTCATTATAATTCCTTCAAAAAAAAATAATAAAAATAATTCGGACACTCAATCCACGACTGTTTGTAAGACGCTGCTGTGTGTAATTGGCTGCCGCGTTTCGCCCACAAAATATACAGTCCATTCACTTTACAATATATTCTGTGAAGTGCTTTGAGATGTCTCGAAGACGTGATAAGGCGCTATACAAATGTAATTTGTTGTTATATCAACTGCAGAGATTATTATAATTCACTACTTGAGAACAAAACCGTTTGAGTCTAATTTACAATTTCATAAAGCTATTTGCTGTTTCTTTAATGAAATAATGTTAGCAATATAACACATCGAAAAGATGATCCCTATGGTTCTTGCAAACAATTTCACACTAGCCACTACGGGTAATGACATTGAATGAATTTCATGTGATCTCCCCACCCCATTGTTTTGAGTAGAAATCTGCCTGAAGCTTTATTTTCTAGTAGCAGTTCCACAAATTAAGACTGAACAGAATGCTATTTTGGAGAAATGAAGGATAATCTCATAACTGATTGTTAATTATTTAATGTACGATAAGAAGACTGATGCATTAAAATAAAATCTTGTGAGGAAAAATGTATCTCTTCATTTTTATTTTAAGAAAATGCTTATTTTTTGGCCTACCTGTTTAGGAAGAGTATTGTGATGGTATCGAGATAAATAAAAAGATGACGAAATGGGGTCTGGAGCATAATTCGTGAGTTGCTGAAACCAGAAACCTACCTTGTCGAGAGGCTTTGCCTTTGCAGAGAAAAGGGAATTGTGTAATCCTTTCTATAGAGAATGTGTGGAATCTTCAGGGGCTGAATGGCCTTTTCCCAGTCCATACCTTGGAGCTGGATTTGAGAGATTCAGGCAAGAATATCAGCAGGAAAACAGACCCAGCTTCTTTACACTCCAATAGTGATCACCATTGGCTTTAGAGAATCACATCTGATGGCTTTCAGATGAATGTAACTGCTGAGTGTAATGCAGTTGTCAGATGAGCAAAGGCTATGTTCATTTGAGAGCGCTCTCAATACCTCCGTTCCAAGGATACATTTTCTGCTTTCCTAAATCAGTCAAAAAAAATAATGACTTGAACTTTCACCAGACAGGTGAAAGAGCCCAAAAAGGAAGGCACAGATGAAGAGCTGGTCGGTGGGATCCAGCTGTAAGGGTCCCGAGATTAAGCGAGTCTCAATCCTTCAATCCAATTACAAGAGAGCGCACGGGCACATCACAGAATTGGCTATAATTTAGCACTCGTTTGTACATTACTAAAGTAGCTGTATTTCCCAGAGAAGCAGGTGCAAGAAATGTCAAAATGATGCAGTAGGGGGGGCTTGTCTAATGCTGGAAATGAAGCACATTGTTAAAGCCGAGGCGAACCCTGCATCTAATCTGTAACTAACCTAAGAAGCAGTATCGAGGGAACCTTTTTTTCTGCTGCTAACGGGCTACACTCGATCCAAGACTGCTCAATGGGACCTTCACCATCTAACCAACCCCCTAT